TGAAAAAAATAGTTAGATTAATAATTTAAATAACAAGCTGTTTTTGTTAATTCAATATGCTAAAGTTATATTTTTATAGTTTTTAATAAAAAAAAAATGTTATAATATTTTAGAAAACATTCAATAATATATTTAAAAAGAATTTATTGAAAATTATAAAAACTATTATTACGTTAGTAATTAAATTTTTTCTTTAGATTATTTAAATAAAAATTATTAGTGAGATAAGAATTTATAAACCTCTTTAATTTAAATGATTGTAATTTAAAAACAATATATTTTAAACTTTTAGTGTTTGCTCTTATAAGCTATAGTGTTTTTAATGTAAAAAAATAAAAATATAATGTAATAAATAAATTTTTATAAAAAAAAATAAAAGATGGAGGCTAGTAGCTATGTTTTAATAATTTAGCAACTATTAATTATTTTCGTATAAATAATTATTTAAAAAGTATTAAGGAAAGTATAAATTTTTAGTTCAAAAGACTTAATAAATTTATTTAATTTTAGAATTAAGTCTTTTAAGTATTTTTATGTTTCACTACTGATTGTTAATTTTTTTTTCATAAATTAAGAATTTTTAATGGCAAGAAATTTAATATGAACTATTATTATTATTCATAATGTTTTTTTTATTTATTTTAACAAAAAATATGAAATAAAGAAAAATATAAAAATTCTAATATAAACAAATATTTTTAAAAACGCTTTTAGTATATTAAAAAAATTTATATATTTTTTTTTTAACATTTTTTATTAGATTTATTTAACTTTATTATAAGTACAATTTAATAAATTAAATTTATTATTAAAAGAAATATTAATTATATTTTTTTTTTAATTTATATTTTTAATAAAAAAATAATAATTTTTACTATTATTTTTTTAACCAATTTATATTATTAATAAATTTAAAAAAAATAAAGTTAAAATAATAATAACATAAAAATTTAAGGATAATTAATGAAAAAAAAAGACTTAAATTTGAATGATAATTAATATAAATATGATATAATCAGAACTAATAGGATGTCAACTCCGGGAAACAAAAACAATTACTAAGCAGCTTAATATAATATTTATCCACAGACATCAAAAACAAATATTATAAATGGTATAAAATTATAAATTTAATAAAAAAATTATCAAAAATAAACAAAGATTATAATTCTAATTTTTTCAATCATTAGCCAAGAATTATTAACAAAAACATAAATAATTATAGTAATAAAGAATATATAACTACAAATACAATAAATGGTTAAATTCAAAATGCATAAACCAAAAATGGATTCAACAATATATAGTAAGTGATGAATTAGTAAAATAGCGACTATTTTTAATAATCACAATAAGGATATTTTTTCAAAGATAAAAATAATGTTTATTAAAAAAATTAATTGAACACAAATCATAGATAATAAAATGAACAAAAAAATAATCATATTACTAACAATAATAAAGCTTAAATAAATAATTATTTTACAAATCAGTAAAACGAGTAAAGATTATAATCATAAAAAAAAGTCGAAAAGGAATATTTTTAATAAGAAAAAAGCATATAAAAACCTTATTAGAATTATTCTAATGAGTATACTATTGATAACAAAATAGAATAAAATAAAATGAATTTAAATAACTTGATTAATTAATATAAGAGATAAAATACTTAAAAAAATAAAAATTCATTTCAATCATATTCAAATGAACAGCAATATTCGTCTTTATAAAATAATAACTAAAATTTAAATGGGAATATTATTGATACTTAAAAAAATAACTCTTAGTAAAATCTAAATAAAAATGAGGATTTTATTAGTAGTTATACAACTAAAGTTAAAAAATAAGGTAAATAAAAAAAATTTATATATATTTAATAATAGAAATTATAATAATATAATAATAAAATGAAATTAATTTTTAAAAATATAATTATACGTAAATAAAAATATATATTTTTTTAATTTATTAAAAAGTTAATTTTTTATATTTTTTTGAAATTTGAATTTTATATTTCTTTAATATATTTTTATATTTTCTTATGTTTTAAATTTATAAATTTATTTTTTTATTTTAAATTAAAACAAAAAGATAGTGTAATTAAATAAGTAGAATAATCAAATTAGTTAATAAATAACAATAATAACTTTTCATAAAATTTAAGTTTAAATAAACATTAATAACCTTAATATGAACATAATGAAGACTAAAAAAACTCAAAGCCATATTTTTTAGAAGTAATTCATCAAAAAAAGAAGTGAAAAATCCAATAATTTAAGGATAATAAATATTTTCGACTAATTATTTACATAATACAAATATTTAATTTTTAAATTAAGATAAAAAAAAGTTATTAAATGAAAATTTATAAAAATAAACAATTAAACAACAAATCAGCAACTTTAGTTAAACAATAAGTAGTTAATAAAAATTAATAGCTTAGATGTAGCAAGAAAAATAATCCCATTTATAAGTACAATAATAAAATTATCAATCAAAATAATTATAATAATAATAAAATTAATAAAATCATTTATAATAATTATAATATAATTATTAATCTTTAAATAAAAATAAACCTTAATAAACATAATCATAATAATCCTTTTTTTTAATAATAAAATAATATATAGTCGTAAATAACATAGTTATAATAATAATAATACTAAATACATCAAAATTAAATAAAAGATAATATTTAATATGGTTATTATATGTCTAGTCTTCACAAAAGTTATTAAAGACCTTTACCTTAAGATTATTTTTCCCAATTGTTTCGAGAGCATTTTATTTAAACATATTAAGGAATTTTATTTTCTAATGTAGCGAAATTGAATTATGATATATCAAAAACACCTTAATTTAATTAAAAAAAGTTTATTTAAAAAAAATAAAAGTCCTTATTAAAAACAATAATATTTGATTTAGATGAAACACTAATACACTGTAATGATAATTCTACATTAAATTCAGATGTCTCTTTGTGTGTAAAATTTCCTATGAACCAAACTTTAAATATAGGTCTAAATATTAGACCTTATGCTTAATAAGTGTTAAAAGAGCTAAGTTAAGATTTTGAAATTGTAGTATTTACAGCTAGCCATGGATGTTATGCTGAAGCAGTTATTAATTATTTAGATCCTTAAAGAAAATATATTCACCATTATTTTTTTAGAGAGTAATGTGTAAAAACCTCATAGGGTGTTTTTGTTAAAGATTTGAGAATTTTTGCTGATAGAAATTTGTAAGATATTGTTTTAGTAGATAATGCAGCTTATAGTTTTGCGTTTTAAATTGAAAATGGAATTCCTATTTTACCTTTTTATGATAATAAAAAAGATTAAGAATTATTATATTTATAAAGTTATTTAAAATAATTTCTTAATGTAGGGGATGTTAGAGAAGTTAATAAAAATTATTTCAAATTTCATATGTATAATAATTCTGGAGGGGTTGATAAGTTATACGAGAAATTATTTAATAAATAATAACAAGCTAACGAAAATAAAAATTAAATTCATAATAAATAGAATTATTGATATTTATTTATGTAATTATAATTTTTTTCTTCTTCTATAATTGAAATTAAAAAAATTACCTTATATTTTGTATTTTTAAAATGAATTATATATTTAATATTTCTTTATTTATAGTATGTATTTTTTTTATATTTCTATATTTTTTTTTTGGTTAAATTTTATTATTTTGTTTTAATTTTATATATTTTTTTATTTTATAAATAGAATAAGTTAGTTCTATTAATTTTTTTATATATTTTTTTAAATAAAATATCGAAAATTTTATTTGCTTATTTGTTTGACATTTAATTCGAATATATGTTTTTATTTTCAATTAGAATCTAAAAATTTAATAAAAACTAATTGTTAGTTAATTAAAATATTTTATAATAAAAAAAGTATATCCGACTGATTTCAATGATTTATAAAAATTATACATTTATATAAAAAAGACTATTATATTAATAAGAAAAAGCTGATATTATAAAAATATAAGTATTTATATTAATAAGGCTAAGAAATAATTCAACATATAACTAATGGTTATTTAATTAAATATTTTTTAAAAAATAAAATAAAAAATTAATATTATAATAACAAATATCTTACTAAATATAACATTTATTAAAAAAGCAAAAGAAAAATTAAAATATTTATTATTAATTAAATAATATCATTTTATGGATTATAGTTTTTTTTTAATTTATTTATGAATATTAGGATAAAATTAAAATCAAATTAAATCTAACCTCATTTTTTAGAATTATAAAAATATTTATGTATTAAATATAAAAATAATAATCATAAATTTATAAATAGGAGGAAAATCGAAATTTTAAAATTAAAATAATATAAATTTATAATTAAGGCTTATAATTTATAAATTATATTTATATCAATATTTTATTATTCCTTAACTATTTTAATTTTTTATACTATAAATAAATAAATATATAATTAAAAAATAAAATTTACTGTTTTAGAAGTTAACAATATTTATATTTTTAAATTAAATAATTATTTATATTAATATTAAAAAAAAATATATATTTTATTTATAAAAAAAAATTATTTTATAATATTTTTTCTAATTTTTTTTATCATAACTGCTTTATTAAAAAAAGATTTCCCTTAATTTAAAATTTTATAATGAAAAATATATATATAAATAAATAAAGTCCTTTTCAAAATTAAATTGTAAAATAAATAAAATTAAACATTATTGCGCATTATTTAAATTTTTTAGCGCGCGAAAAAAAAATAAAAAATGAATTTTTCATACTATAAATTTTTCTTTTTTTAATAAATATAAAATAAAAAAAATAACATTCTATAAAAATAAAAACAAAAAATCAAAAAACAAAAAAACAAAAAATTAAAAACATTTTTTATTAAAAGTTAATATAGTAAATGAGCAATAATTACATGCAATAAAGTGATTAAAAAAGATAAGCGTTAAATAATATATCAACAAGAAAAAATTAAGAAGATTATAAGTTTAATGAAAAGCAATAATTTTCAGTTTTTTAAACAAAATCAAATGAACAGATAAAATAATCTACAAACAATTAAATTAATAATTAGATTGAAATGTTAAGACATGCATTAAAAGAAGCAATTGATGAGAATGAAATTGTAAATTTTAATATATAAACTATCTAATATTTATTTATTTAAAATCATAATTTATAACATTCAGTTAAGAAATAGAGTTTCAGAAGTTGAGGCTCTTTATGCTGCAGCTGAGGATGAAGTTTTAAAAAGAGATTAATGTATATAAGAACTAATATGTTAAATAGAAAAAGTATTATTTATAATATTTATTATTTTTTATTTTTATATTTTTTTTAAATAATTTTTTTTAGTTAAGCATATAAACTGAATCTAATAAATAAATGAGAAAAAGAATTAATAGTTTATGATAATATAGTTATAAAATGTAAAAATAAACATCTATGTATTTATATTTTTTGTTAAAGTTTTTAAAATATAATAATGTATTATTTATTTGTTTTAATTAATGTTAAAGATAATTATATTAATTATATAATATAAAAATTATAAAATATTTTAGTATTTATTATTATAATATTTATATTTCAAATATTATTATTGTGAATAATTTTTTCACATATTTTATTTGAATATGATTATTTTACAAATTATAACTATATTATTAAATATTTAAATTATTAAAAATCTTTAATAGAAATGTATAAAAATTAATGAGTATATATAATTAATTAAATGAGGACAAATATATTGTTTATTATTTATTGAATATTTAATTTAAATTAATAAATATATATTAATTTTTTAGTTTGATTGTTATTCTTTAAAATTACTTGAATTTAAAAATAAAAAAATATTTTTTAATCATAAAATTTAAATATAAATATACTTTTTATTCATTAATAAACCTAAAATATATATTTATTTCTTATATTACTTTATATTGTTTTATTTTATTTTAATTTAATAATAAAAAATCAAACAAATATATATATAAATTAATAATATGGCCGATATTTAATTATAAATATTTTAATTAAACACACATTCTGGTGAAGAAGATTTAAAATAATGCATATAATGGTTGACTTAAATATTTTAATAAAAAACTTCGAAATTAATATCTATAGTAGTTAAGCTTACAAATATAAATATTTCTTCATTAAGTTCATTAAGTGACCTCGATAATCTTACATAAAATTAATTAGAAAGTAAAGAAGAAACAATAAAATAATAAAATTAAAATGAAAATATAACTAATGATAGTTGTTTAGAATATTAAATTAAAGGTAATTAATTATATAATTAGTAAAATTATGAAGAAGCATTAGAATATTTTAAAAAATCTTAAAATTTAGTATAATAATAAGAATCAGATTAAAAAAATTAAATTATTTTTAATAACTACATATATACAGCCACTACATATACTAAACTAAAATAAACGAAAGAGGCTATAGATTAATTTTAATTAGCTTTAGAAGAAATAAAGTAAAATAACGTTAATTTAAATTAAGTATAATTAGATGATAATATAACTAATAATCTTTTATATTATCTCCATTTTAATTTAGGAAATTTATATTAAGAATAAAATAATATAGATAAATAAATTGAACACTTGGAGGAAGCTTATTAAAATATAAAAGAATCAAAAAATATTTCAATATTCAAAATAGAAGCAAATTTACTAAACAACTTAGGAATAGCATATTACTCTAAGTTATAATTAGAAAAGGCAATATAATATTTTTAAAAATCTTTAGAATAATTAAAAATTTATATTAATAATAATACAGATGATAAATAGTCATTTTTATCTTATGGAAATCGTTTAAATAATGTATTTATATACAAAAAGCATTTTTTTTTTTTAAAAAAAAAAAAGTTAGGAGAAGCCTATAAAAAGAATAAATAATACGAAGAAGCAAAAAATGCATTTTAAGAAAGTTTAAAATATAAACAAGAATATTATGATGGCTAAAACGACAATTCTTTGGAATCAGAAATTTCTATAATTAATACATTAAATAATTTAGCTACAACTGAATAAATACTTAAAAATTATTAAATCGCAATTGATACTTATTAATACTGTTTAGATAAATATCAAAAATTTTAAAATTAAGACTAAGATTTATTAGTTAATATTGCAAATATTAAAAATCATAAAGGAGAATGTCATAAATTTCTTTCATAAAATGAAATTGCTGAAAGTCTTTTTAAAGATTCTTATGAAAGCAAACTTTAAATTCTTGGTTTAACAAATAAAAACACATTAACTTCTGCTTGTAATTATGGATAAATATTATTTTTATTAAAAAAATACAAACTTTCTATTGATATTTATAAATAAACTTTAAAAGCTTAAAAAGAAATATTAGATGAAAACGATGATGCTATAGGATAAACTCTTAATAATTTAGGGTTTAAATTCTATATTAAATATTTTATATATTATTTTATTTATAATAGTACTGTTTTATCTTAAGATAATTAATTTAATGAAGCCGAAGATTATATATCTTAAGCAATTTAAATATTCGAAAAAAGCGATAAAATATCTTTAACTAATATTGAGAAAATTAAAAAAAATTTGAAATCAATATAACGTAAAAAATAAAATAAAGAATAACAATGAGAATATTATTTAATTTTATATGCCTTATTATTTATAAACTTATTATATATTATTTGAATATATGATATTAAAATATAATAATTTTATATACTAAAATAAATATTAGTCAACATTTAACAAAAAAATAATTTAATATTTAATTTTATATTTAAAGTATAATTAATGCTTATTAAGTATTATATATTTATAATTTTTATTTAACTTTTATATATGTAATAGTATTTATAATAAAAAATAATCATAATTTTATTAATTATACTATAATTTATAAAACTCTTTATTTTAAACTAATAATTTATATTTTTTACTCATACCAATTATTCTAAATATAAATTTTAAGATTTAAGAAATATATTAAGACATTACAAAATTATCTGGATATCTCTATTTTATTTTCGATATAATTATTTATAATATTATTAATCTCAAAATTAAAAATCTATCATTTGCTGCTTTTATTAAAAGATTTAATATAATAATGATTTTTAAATATTTTTTTATTTAATATTATATACAAATAAATTTAATTCTTATATATTAAAGAGAACAGGTAATAATTATATAAAAAGATAATAATTAACTATTTTTTTTAAAAAAAATTAATAAAAATAATGATAATCAATAAAAAATATAATTCAATAAGGATAAATATATGAAAATACAAACGAATTATTTTTTTAACTAAAGATATAAATAAAAATATAAACTAACTTTTCTAAATTAAATGATTTAAAATATTCATAATAATTATATTTTTTTTTTTAATAATTATGGATATTCTGAACTTACTGCAAAATAAATTTGGTTTTTTGAGATAATTATTTTAGGATTTATTTATAAATTTTTATTTTAATTGTGATTCTTTATCTTTTTATGGATAAAAAATTTAGAAAGACATAAATTTTTATATTTTCATATATTTATGAAATTGGAAGTACTAATAATATATGTAATATTTATTTTAATAAAAAAAAAGTAAACAGTACACTTATAATAATTAATTTTTATTTCCGAATCGAGATAATGAAAAAGATAATAAAAAAATATGTGTTTGATTATTATTTAAATTAATAAATAAATATTAAAGTTTAAAATCTTAAAATATGTTTATAAATTAAAAGATTAATTAATTAGTTACAAAGTATTTATTATTAAATAAAAAAAAAAAAAAAAATTTTTGAGATAAACTAATAGTTAAATATATATTATTATTTTTATATTTGAAGATTAAATTAAAATAAAAATGAATTTTAATATGTTATATATAAAAAAAAAAATATATTATTTATAAAAACAAAAAATATATTTATAAATTTTTTAATAATTTTTAGTAAAATATTATAAATTGATATATATATATATATATATATATCTTATAAATAAATAATTATATAAAAATAAAAAAAAAAAATAAAAAAAAAATTAAAAGAAAAAAAAAGTTAAAAAATAAAAAAAGTGAATAAGAAACAAATATTTTTTAATTATAAAATATAATTAAAAAATATTAATAATAAAAAAAATAAAAGAAATTATATATAAGTAAATATATATTTATATATTTATATATTTATATATTTATATATTTATATATTTATATATTTATTTTTATACATTCTTTATTTTAATAATTTAAAATAATGATTTTTTTTTTTTTTTTTTTTATAAAATAAAATGATATATTTTATGAATAAAGATTTTATTATATTTTTAATTAACTTTTTATAATTTTCATTTTATGATTTAAATTTTTATTTAATTAATGTCTTAAATTATATTTTTTTATATTTAAAATTAAATCTATTCCTTTACTCAATCAATATTTACATTTTTTTTTTAATAATCTATACAATAAATAGTATTTTTATAAAATTTTCTATTAATATTTTTTATAAAATAATTATTCTTTATAATGATAATACTTCCGCTTACTTTACAATATATATTATATAATTTTTTTTTATCAATTTTAATTGTATTATAAATAAAAACAAAAATAATTTCATAAAAAATATTAATTCAAATTAAAAACAGAATTTAATTAATAATTGATTTAATTTTAAAATATACTAAAAAATGCAAAATCAAATATAAGATGCATAAATAGAACATTAAATATAATAAATTGAATTATAAAAAGAATCTACAACAACTGAAATTTTCTAAGATTAACGATCAAAAGCAATTGAATTTTAAAACTAAGCCTTGAAAAATGAGTACTAATCAAAATCGAAAGGACCTACATAAAAGTTCCAGAAATATTTCAACCCATCCCACCCTGTCTTAATAGAAGACAAAACATAATTTCAACAAACAGAAATACCTATAAGTGTATTAGATTAACTTTTTATAGATTACGATCAAGAATAATAATAAAAAAAAAACTAAGAAAATTAAACAACAAGTGTATTATAATTACCTGAAAAAGTGAATTCAATATATCCATTTTATGAGACAGTAGGAAAATTAATGTATGTATATGGAGATTAAATACGTAATGACTAAAAAGCAGTAGAAATGATGCATTCCTAAATCGAGGAATTAATAAAGGGTATTTTTAATGTGAAAATAATGGATAGGGTTGTAAAAAATATTGTTTAAACAAGCTAAAATATGTTTAATTTGGAAGAAAATTCGGAGAATTTTTAATTTCCGAAATCGTCAAATAAAATAAAATAAGGATTTAATAATTATTTGAAGTATATTTTTGAGGATTAATATAAGATTTTTTGGGAATTCAATAAAACTTATAAATAAATAAAAGAGGAAGGTGGATTACATAAATTAAAAAAATAAATTCATTCATAAAATTAAAATAATTCTATTAATAGTAGTGGTATGTCAAGTTTTTAAAGTGAAGAAGAAGAAAGTGAAATCTCAAGTAGTCAAAGTGAAGAAATTAGAGATATGAAAAAAAGATTTGATGAATATAATAATTAGAATGTTTAGATTTATAGTGATAGAAGTAGTTAATAAGACGAAGAAAATGAACAAGAAGAAGAAGAAAATAATAAAATAGATAGTGAAAGTGATGATGTTTTTGAAAAAAAATAAGTAATAAATAATGAAGGAGGAGAGAGAAATTTTGAAGAAGAAAAAGCTGACTTTTATGCTTAATTATTAAAAAAGATAAATAAAATGGATTAAAATACATAAAATATATATGAATAATAATACATATAGAGGATTTAATTTAATCAATAAAGAATAGAAAGAATGCATTTATAAGAATGGGATTATTACATGAAAAGTAGATCTGTGAAATTTTACAATAATCATATTTAAAATAGAGAAGCTTTTTTAAAATTTGTTGATGATGGCTAAAAAGGAAAACATTTTTAAAATTTAATTTAACTTTTTGGTCCATTTTTATCTTATTGTTTTAGTAAAATAATTGCTTGTATTGTAGAACAGATTTTAAGGTAAAAAAATGACGGAAATTTATAGGAAATACAAGAATCTTTAAATGAGGTTGATGTTTAAGTTTTTGGAAATTAAATTATTGATAAATATATTAATAGGGCTAAAAAATATGCTTTTACAAAGGAAAAATTAATTAAATAAGCTTTTGGAATTTTTCAATAGGATTTTTTTTAGGAAAACTATAATAAAGTCATTAATATTTAATGCAAAAGTAAAGATTTGAAAAATTAATGGAAAGCTCTTAAAAATTCATCAAAAAAAATGTGGGCGGAAAGAGTTTTAGCGGAAAAACAAGTAAAAAAAAGTATTTAGTAAAAGGAATTGATTGATAAAAGTAATTGTGTAAATACTTACGCAATGTATTTATATGAGGAAGTTTAGAAAAATAATTAGGTAAGTTTTGGGAAAGTTTTTAAAAATTGGTTCTTTAATAATGATAATGTTAGAAATTTGTAAAATAGTTAAAGTAATAATAAAAGAGGGGCGTAAAGTTTGAATGGATAGATTAATGAGTAAATGTTTTATAAAAAAAAATAAGTTAAATTAGAAAGTATTTTTGACTGATATTTTATATATATATAAAAATATATTTATTTTATTTAATTTCATTTTACTATTTTTGTAATTTTATTTTTTTAAAAAATGAATATAATAATATAATATATATGTATATATATTATATATTTATATAATTTTATATTATATATATATTTTTCCATTTTTTTATTTTTATTTTATTATTTTGCTGCTTTTTTAGAAATATTTTTATATAATTATTTTTCTTTTTTTTTATAAAAAATTTAATAAGATATTTAAAAAAAAATTATATTTTTAAATTTAATACGTATAAATGAGAATAGAATTTATTTTGAAAGGATAAAAAGTATATGAAGGTGATTGTTCTGTCCAAAAAACTTAAGATGTTTAATTATTACAAGATGATCTATTATTAAATCCAGTAAAAAATTTCAGGAATAAAAAATAAGTTAAATTTTCTCATAAAAATTAAGACAATAAAAAACAATTGCATAATTAAAGAGTATTATTTTTTTATTTATTATAAAATGGATATTTTAACTATAATAATTTACTTTTAATTATTTTTATAATTAAAAAATAAGCAATCTTATTTATTTAAAGTTTTATATAAATATATTTATTATAGGGTAAAAAAAGAAGAGGTGCTGCATTAGATGAAGATACAAACATAAAATTATATGTAAAATAATATGATATAATATAATATAAAATAAAAGACAAAAAAAATATATTAGACAGTTAACTTTAATTTTATCACATTTTTTTTAAGTTGAAAATATTATATTTAATTTTTTTTTTTTTTTTTATAAAAATTAATAAAGGCAAAAGATATATATTAGGATAAAAGAAAAAAGTAAAAAAAAAATGCAGATGATGAATCAGGAGTAGAATACGATTCACAAGCGAGTGAAGATGAATAAAAACTCCTTGAATTAGAGGGAGAATTAGAAATGGAATTAGCAAATATAGGAGTATTTATTTAAAAAAAAAAAAATATTTAAATATTTTTAAATTTAATATAAGGATGAAGAAATGGATGAATTTGAAGATGAAGATTAATTATTGGATGAAAATGATTTAGAAAAGTAAAAACCGATTGCGAAAATATTAAACAATCCAAAATTAAAAGAAGCAGAAAATTTAAGCGAATTAAGTCTTTCAGAAAACCCTGTTTATTAAAAACTAACTTAAAGACAAAAGAATATTATTAAAAATACAGTTGCTAATTAATTTGGTGTAACTGATTAATAGTAGTAATAATAATAATAATAAGAATTATAATTGGAAGATAAAAAAAAGAAAAAAGACTTAACAGAAGAAGATTTGATTAAAAAATAAGAAAAAGAAGAGAAAAGAAGACTTTAAATGTAAAAGTAAATAGAAAATTTGAAAAAATAAACAGTCGATAAAATCCTTAATGAAGCAGGTACTAAGTAAAAAAAACGTAAAGAAAGAGAATAACAAGAAACTAACCAAAGAACTCATTATCAATATAGATAATTACATCCTAATGAACCTAGAATCACTTATATTTCTAATTCTAATAAAGGAGAATTCATTTGTATTAATAAAAATATATACAATCCTTATTTAAATCCAGTTGTTTAATAATGAAGGAAAATAATTATTTATTAATTTTCATGTCAATTTTTTTTTGTTTCTGTTTTTGTTTAAATGTTAAAATTAACTTTTTGAATAATTAAATTATTCATAAAATAATTATATATTTTCAATTTACTTTGATTTAAGATTTTAATCTTATAAATTTAGTTTTTGTATACCTTTTTGTTATTCTTCTTTCTCATAAAAAACTTTAATTTAAAATGAAATGAATAAATATATATTTTAAAGTAAGAATATAAATTTCTTTTTGATAAACAAATATTTAATTATAACCTATACTTCAAGAATGAACAAATATTTTATTTTCGATGTTTTATTAAAATAAATTGAATTAGGAAAATATCAATATTATTAATTTTTTTTTAAGGAATAGTTTACAAATTACTCATTAATAATTCAGTTTTTGTAAAGTATTATCAATTAATTAAATACAAAATATTTTTTTTAATATAAAAAAATAAATAGAAAATAGATACCATTTTATAGTTTTCAATATTTTTTATTATTTTAGAAAATATAATAAGTTTGTTTTATAAGTGACTAATTATAAGATGGAATTGGTCGAAAAAACTATATTGATTTTTGGTTAAATAATTACAATATTAATTTTGACTTCTTGCTTAGTTACTAACATATATCAAATTATAATTGATGATTATAATAACATTTTTAAGATTAACATGTGTAATAAAATAAAACTAAATATTTAGTTTTAAAACTTTAACTAAATATAGATGGGGTATAGCAACTGAAATCTTCCAAAAATAAAGTTGACTTACTCAACATTATACTTGTACTTGGTATGGTTTTTGGTAAATGAATGGGTATTTTAGTTTGCTATTTTACATAAATAATATGTTAATAAAAATATTTAATATGAGAAATGAAATTAAAATTTATTATTTTTAATTATTTCTATCCCAATTATACTAATTGTTTTCAAATGAATACAATACGAAAAATTTATTTTAAATAATAAAAAGGATAAATGATATAAATAATAAGTAAAAAAAATAAGAATTTATAAATTAAAATTAATAAGTATTAATAAATTAAACAATACAATTGATTATTATAAAGTAAAAACGAAATTATTTTTTAGCTTTTAAAAATGATTTTTTTAATTATAACTAATTTATATATTTTTTTATAAATATTGGTATTATTATTTCCATATTTATTTTGCTTAAAAATAATTAAAGTGAATATTATTAAAGAAAACCTGAACTAACAATAAAGAAAGTAAATAATATACTTTATTTGAAATTGATAATATCTTTTATTAACCAAAAAAAATATATTAATAATTTTCTTAATATCTCTTAAGTTTTTATTATTTTTAATAAATAAAATAATATTTTTTTAATTATATATATTTACTTGTTAATAATTTTTTTTTTTTTATAATTATTTTTAATAACTCAATAAATGAGACAAGAATAAATGGACAATCGCATTTTTGTTCAATGAGTTTTTTAAAAGGAATTATGAGAAAAAAAAAAATTTACAAAGTAGTAATTATATTTTATTTTTTTTAAATAAAAAAACTTTCTTATAAAGTTGTATACAACTCCAATACTTAAATTAAGAAATTTCATATCGTTAAAAGTAAAAAATTAAGAGATAAAACTCCATAAAAAATAAATGCAACATAAAGAAATAATTATTAGATTTACTTATTTTTTTTATTTTTTCTAAAATTACAAATAATGCATTTATTTTATTTATATAATAATAAAAAAATTTATATGTATCTTTAAAAAATTTAAATAAAAATTAAATTGAAAAAATTAAAAAAAGATATTGTATATACTATTTTTATTAAAAGTTAGTAAAATTATACATAAATTTAATATATGTTTAATTATTTTTTTGAAAAAAAGTCAATAAACATCATCTTCATTATCACTTTACATTAAAATATATCGAACTTAATTAGCAATTTTTCTATTAATAATTATTTATTCAATATCTGCTAGTATTTTTTTATCTATATAGAACTAACTCCAATCTAAAAAGTTTATACAATTAGCGATTCTACCTAATTTATAATAATATAAACCTTTATAAATTAAAACAATTTTATTCTCAACAAAAATAAGTAATCCATCTTATAACTAAATATATACACAATAACCATTATGCTTTTAATAGGCATGATAAATATCATTATGTACAATTTAGTTTTGGAAACATAATTATCAGCCATTTATGTAGAGCAAATTAGACATAAAATTAGAGGAGATTCTTCCAATTAAGGAAAGTTTTATGAAATCTCACATTTTTTCCAGAATTGATTTTTATAAAATTATTCGAAATTTTCATGGAGCATAGGAGAGAGAGTAAAAATTTTACTTTCTATATTTAAAAAATTAACATTTTTTTACTTACTAATATCTATAAATAAAAATTAATATCTATGATCTATCTTATTAATAGCATAATCAAAGTTTAAATTAAAGTATTATATTCCTATAATAACTTCATAACTTTATATCTCTTCTTCCAAATAAATATTACTAAATTTAATTTTATTAATATCAAATTCACATATTAATTAAAGGAAAACTACAACAACTCTAAAATAAACTAAACTTTCGATTTTTATTTATTCATTTTCTTATTCCCAAATTATTTTCATTTATTTTATTAAAATATCTTTTTCATATAACTTTGGATTCTATTCATTTTCTTTTTCAAATAATATTTTTAAAGTGTTTATAATTAGAATATCTTATAAAAATTGAATACATAAATTTATTGCTAATTTTTCATCAAAAACAAAGCATGTTTTGAATATATTTTATATAAATTACATAATAAAAGTTATTGTTGTTTAATTGCTTCTTTGTTTTGAATTTTCGTATTATTATTAAATTTAATGAAGCATGTCTTGTTCAAATACTTAGATTATTTAATTTTGTAAATTTTCATATTAATATTATTATTATTCATTATAATATCCTTTTAATATTATTTTAATGTTTAAGTATAAATTATTTAATAGATTAAAATCTTTATTCATATATGTCTCTATATTTTCTATTTTTATATTTTTACTAAAATAAAAAAGAAAAATATAATTTACATAGAAGTACAACTTTTAAAAGTTATTACTAAAGTAAAGTATCAGATATTATGAAAATATTGAAATCTTAAAAGTTTTCATTTTCTATAAAAATTATTATTATTATTCGAAATAATAGCTAGAATAGATAAAAATTCTTCCAATCCTTAATAAATTTTATTATTTAATGTTTTGTATTAAGATTTAAGTAAACTTTTTAAAATACTTAATATACTTTGTTAAAAATCATTTTATTTTCTATTTGTGAAAAAAGATTATTTATTAAATTCAAAATAATATTATATTTTAGGAATTTGTTCTAGTTCAATTTTATTCAAATATTTATCTAAAATCATTATAAAAACATTAGTTAAAGATTTACATATAGTACAAAAAGTTTCCAATTGTCCAATATTTTCTTATCTATTAATTGCTTTACGATTAATATATATATTTTAGATACCATTTTCATGGCATTTTTAATGTACAAAATGTAAGCAACTATTAATAGCATACTATTGGTTTTTTTCATTTTCGATTAGTTCTTCTGATATATTTAAATATTTATTTAAATTATCACATTATATGTATGAAGGATATACTTAAATTTCCTGATCATTTTTACAAATTAAACACTCGGGAAATAATTCAAAAGAACTAGAAGAAGAAAAAACATTTAAAAGATTATTATTATTATTTTAGAAGTTTTTTTATTTATTAGTAAATTATTATATAATTTATTATTATTATTTTAAGATTTATAATTTTTTCTTCTCTTTTTGACTAATTAAATCATTTGAAACATCTGTACTTTCATAACTTAAATTAATTTATTATTTTTTTGGGGGAATAACGTTTTCAAGAATTTATTTTGGTTTTATAAAATTGGCTTTAACTAAATTATATTCAAAAATTTCTAAAGTTTAGAAAATTTCGCTTTTTTAGAAAAAAATAATTATTTCATTCAAAAAATCTTTTTAATTTAAAATAAGTTAATTGAATTAATCTTAAGTAATTTTCATTTTTAACATTTCGAAAATTATTTTAATCGAATAAATGATTATTTTAGAATTATTTTTTTAATAATTTTTTAAACAAATATTAAGTATTTTATATATGATTTCAGAATTATTAATATTAGTTAAAAAGACATTCTTTTATTCCATATTTCCGAGTATAAATTCCATATTTTTTTCTTTTATTTTTTCCACAAATTCACAGTCTAAATTTGCATACATTTTCCATAAAAAAGGCTCGTATTTATTTCTGAATTTAATTTTAGTTTTAAACATTTTATTTTCACCCAAATCTGCGAATTTAAATATTATATCAGGAATATTTTGAACGTCTAAAACTTTCATATGGCTTAATTTTTAACATAACTTATCAAAAGTTATTTCGTTTTGGAAAAAACAGCAGTTTATACATATTGTGCTCAAGCTTTCTATTAGAAAATTTTGTTCTTTACAATCTTTGAAGCATTATTAAATATTATTTATTATATATAAGGGGTTTATGTGTATTTATATTATTGTTTAAAGCATAAATTCATATTAAGATTCTGTTTTTGTTGAAATTTCATTAAAATTTATGTCTTATGTTATTGATTATAGAAAATCTTCTTCTGGAATTAAAAATGAAAACATCTACAAATTTGAATATTCCCTAAATATAATTTTGTTTTTGTAATTGGAAATAAGTTTCCTTTGTTATTCTTTTAGGTTGCTTTCTTCCAATAAATAAAATTAATAAAGATCACTAAATATTTCGTTGCAAATATTACTTATTAATTTTATAAATGTACTTTGGCTAAGTCTTGAAATTTAGAGTATTTTTTATGTTAGTTATTCTCTAGTTTTTTCTATGTTTTTCTCATTTTCATATATAAATATGAAATAATTTACTATTAATATTCCCAAAATTCCCTTATTTCCTTAATTCCATTATATTTGTGGTTATTATTATAACTAATTTACTCTTTTTTAGTGATTTTATTAATCTTTTTACTCAAAATCTATATCAAATTAACATTTTACAAAATAAAAATAAATCAAATTTTCGTAAATTTCGTTTCTATCTTTTTGTTTGTTTAAAGAATTTAAAAGTAATCGAGACAAATCAAAATTCATTTCTTCTATTATTATTTATATGTCTTAATGAAAATAATCATTTTTTATTATTTGTAATTCTATTTACTTTTTACTAATTATTTATGTAAACCTTTAAGCTAAATTTAGGTCTATAATTATCTCACGTTTAAATATAAATATCATCAAATTATTTAAAACTTCATATTTTTTTAAATATTTTTCAAATTCTTTTTACATTAGTAAATTCTATACTTATTCAAAAACACTCATTATTGTTGTTATAAAGTTTACTTAAGCTATTAATACCTTTTTTTAAAATAAATTAATTTAAAATGTATTTTTTTTTATAATTCTACTTAAAAAATTTATGGGGCAATAAATTGTTTTAATAACTATAAAAGTAAATTATTATCAGTTTATAAAAAATCCTTAAGTATCTAAATATAAAATTTAGTTAATTTGAAAGCAAACGGTCTATATTTTAAACAATTAAATATTATTTCTTAAAAGAATTCAAAATCATTTTTTTTTTTAGCTAATCTGAAAAAATATATATATATATATATATATATATATATATATATAAAATATAAATAATTCTTATTTTCTTTAATTAAAATAAAATATACAAGTAAATTTATTCAATAATTGAAATTTATTTATTTTCGATTTTTTAATTTTTAAGATTAAAACTTTCTCCATTTTTAAATAAAGCCTCACTGCATTCAAAAGGATATTATTTACTTAAATTGATAAATTCGTTTTTAAAATTTTCTTAGCTCTCTAAGCTTAAAATTTATTCAAAATTAAACAAATTTACGTATAAAGTTTCCAAAAATTATATTTCATTCTTATTATTGCTTGTATTTATAGTTTTAATTACTATATTTTTTTGATGACATGGGCATTCTATTTTTTTATTATACATTTCGCTATCTCCACAACTACACCTTTCTGTAAAATCACTATTATCTGTTTATATAATTTTATGATCCTTATTGTTAACCATTTTCTAAACAATATTAACAAAAACATACATATATTTTAGGTACTTATATACTACAATCTAAACACAAATACATTACAGCCTTTGATTAAAGACATACTTAATAATTTTAGTTCATTTATTATTTCCTTTAATTATTTTATTTATATATACAAAAAAAATATATATGAAATATTTAAATACATAATTTTATAACCAAATATTTTTAAATAATATATTTATTTAGGCTCTTTTATAAAATAAATAAATTATTTTTTATTATTTATTTTATATTTTTGCGAAAAAATAAAATTTGGTTACTATATTTAGTATAAAATTTTTAGAACTTAAATTAAAAGGTTCTTATGCAGTATTTGTTAAAAAAATAAAAATTTAATTAATAATATATAATAGGACTTAAAAGAAAAGTCGAAATGCAATTTTTTAAATAATAAACAAAAATTATCTTATTATTTAAAGAATAGATTTTAAAATAAATATAAAATTAAAATCATTTTAATATATTACAAATAAAAAAATAAAGTTTTAATAATATTTTAATATAAAACACTATTTTATAATTATTTCAATTGTATTACTAATATAATTTTTATAAAATACACAAACATTTAATTTCTATAAAAAGATAAACTTTTTAGATATAATTAACGAATGATACTTTAATAGATTATATTTTTAAAGCTTTTCTTTAGTATAAATTACTAATCTAAGTAATAAATACTAAAATAAAAATAATAAAATAACATACTTTAGTATAAATAAAATAATAATAAAGAATATAAATAAATAAAAATAAACAATTAATATCCAAAAATTATCTTAACAAATAAATATTAAATAAAAATAATGCTTTTACAAATTAAAATATAGAAAGAAATAAATAGTAGCAAAATTTATTCTTATTTAAAAAAATTGCGAGGAATTTGAAAATAATAATAAAAAGAGTAATAGGCATAAGTATTTTAAAAATCTAAAAATTTAAATAATATATTAAGAAAAAGTATAATTTTTTTATGTAAATTAATACTAGCTTTGGCAAAAATAAGCTGATAAATAAATAAGTAAGAATAAAAATAATAGATAAATCTGATAAAGTCAAAAATAATCATTATTATTTTATTAATAAAATATTGTAAAAACTTTTAAATTATTATTATAAACTATTTTTTTTTATTTAATGCTGAATAACAATTATTAAAAATTATTTTATATTTATTATATATTAATTGTAATTATTAATGTTTTTACTTAACTTCAATATAAATTAGAGTATATTTTTATACTCATTTGTCCATTATGGACATTTATTTCATTAAATGTCCATTATGGACATTTATTTCATTAAATGCCCATTATGGACATTTATTTCATTAAATGCCCATTATGGACATTTATTTCATTAAATTGCATAATGCGAATTTCAACTGAAATATGGATTATAGAAACGCTTGTAGGAGCGAATTACTATATTTTATCATCATAAAATTTATATTATTAATGGAAAAAAAATCATAAAATTATATATTATAGAGTATTTTTTTTTTCCGAAATTATTAATTAAGTTAGTTTTCAGGAGACTAAATTAGTAAGGCATTTCAAATTTTAATGATAATATAAACAATAAACTGAAATTTATGGAAACAGTGGCTTTTATTTTTAAAGCTTGATTTCATTTAATAAAGAATATAGAATGATTGATTATTACATTGACAATGAAAATGCTATTTAAGCAGATGATAATGAGAATTATATGTATTATACTAACAAATGAAATAGCTAAAAATGATAATAAGTAGCTGATTTATTTAAAAATTAAAAATAATAATAGAATTTATATAAACTATTTGACTAAACTAGAAAATAATATAAATTAATACATTTGATCTTTATGAAATACATATTTAAATTATTTATTAAAACAAGAAAAAGCCATTAATTAAATTCAAAAGATTAAAAATATACATCCAAAATTGTATTTATTATAATAAAAAACTACTATAAGACGTAATACTAAAAAATATATATAAAATTAAATAAAAATAGTGTAAATTAATTTTTTATATTATTATTAATAATAATATAAAATATAGATTAATTAAAAAAATATGAAATATATTTATTTTATATTTTATTTTTTATATATAAGATATCTCAATACTATGTAATATATATAACATGATTTTATATCTTTAAGCTTTATAATACTTTAGTAAAATAAATAAGTCTGTAAAACATCCATTTAAATATTTATTAGAAAACAAATAAATCGACTTTGTTAATAAAGCATTTTATTATAAAATAATTTGCATGTATAAATTAAAAAAATATAAGATTAAAATTAAAAAATAAAAATATTTATACATAATAAACATATTTTAAAATAAATAAATAAAAATTAAAAATTATTATAATAAGTATATTTTTTTACAAACAAAGAAAAAAAAAATATAAGCTTTTATATATTTTACTTTTTATTAATTAAAAAAACAAAAATAAAAATATTATTACAATATATAATTTCATTCTAATAAAGCAACCTAATACATAATAAAAACCCCAGATAAAATTGCAGCAACAATTGAAAGGAAATTCAAAAAAGATTTATTTTATTTTAAAGAGTTTTTTATTTCAGGTAAGATAGTTGATAAACATGTATAAATAAAACATCCTGCAATAATAGAAAGCATTTCTTTTTTATATAATTCACCTGTTTTTAGACCTAATAAATTAAATATTAAATAATTTTTTTTTTTTTTATAACTACCTATAATTCCTCCAACAAGGGCTCCAAAGCTAGTAATAACTTAAGTTTAGAAAATTCTTGACAAACCATAATTACGTTTAATAAGGAAAGCAAAATCACCAATTTCATGAGGTAATTCATGTATCATTATAACAAAAGTTGATGTTAATCCAAAATTAATATCTTTTTTTTAATTTTTTTTTTTTTTAATTATAATTAAATAAAATATAATATATTTACTTATAGTAAAAGCAGCTCCTAGAGCTAAACCATCAGTTAAATTATGTAAAAAATCACAAATTAAAAATGGTATTGCAGAATTTTATTCTTAATGGTTGTGATGATCACATTTTTTTTCAGCTTCAACTTTTATATTATTTTTGACGTTTTTTTCAGTATTTTCATGATTATGCTTTTGATTTTCTTCATCTGAACTAGAATTTAAAACCATAAATAAATAATCAAGGGTCAAAAGTAAAATAATTCCAAAAATAATCATTAATGGAGTTTATAAATTCTCTTAATCATGAGAATGGCCATGACCTTCATGTCCATTATGTTATTCTTCGAAAATATAAGGAATTATATGTAATAGAACATCACCTAGGATAGAACCAAATCCAAAACTTTAAAGAATATTTAAAAGCTTATAAGAAAAGTTATTTTTATCTCCTTATTATTAAAATATTTTTCCTAAAGCAGATAAAATTAAAAACACAGGAAGGGAAGGTAAAGACACTATCAAAACGCTAGTTATTACTTATTATTGTTTATTAGGAATATTTTTTTCGAAATATCTTTTAAATTAGTTAAATGATTTTTCTACAAATGTTAAAGGCGCGTGGACTGCATGACTTTCACTTTTATGATGATGGCCTTGTGAGCATTTAGAATGGTTATGATGTTCATGAACGTGATTGTGAATGCTAATTTGAGAATGGCTGTGTGCATGAGATGTATTAGTAGTATTTGAAGGTACTGGGTGTGCTAGAATTCCTAATAATAGTAATTATAGTATTATTATAGTTTATTTTTTCATTTCTTTTTATTATTTTTTTAGAGATATTTTGTTTGTATTTTTATTATTTAAAATTTTTATATTAATAAAATATATAATTTTTTTTTTATAAAAGATTAATTATATTGTATTTTATTTTTTAATAATATATAAATGAATACTTTTATATTTTTATTATTATTTTTTAACTTTTTTATATTTTTGTTTACTAAATATATTCAACTTACTATTTTATTTTGCATAATTTAATGATAAGTTTTTTTCTTTTTTCTATTTTATTTAAACAAATTTACAAGATTAAGTAAAATAACATAATAATAGTTATTAATTAAAAAAAAAATATAATAAATAAAAATAATATAAATATCTTAATATACAGGTAGTGTCGTAACGCAAAAATATTTGCAACACAAAAATTAAATAAAAATTTGAATTATATTATATTATAAAAATCAGTATAGATTATTAAAAAAAGCTGCTAAATATATTATTATATTTTCTGCTATTTATAATTCAACTTAACATAAGATTAAATATTAAATAGAATATCATTATTACAAATATTTTTACATACATTATATTATAAATATTTATTATTTATTTTTTAGTTAACGTAAATTAAAAGATATATATTTTTTTTTCTTATAAACCAAATTTTATTTTCAGAAATATAAGATAATTTTTTAATTAAAATATAATTCTATTAAAAGTTTTTCTTTTAGTTTATAATAAACTTGAATAATATTAAAGTTAAAAATATATTGGGTTTAAAAATATATGCAATAATTTGAATCTAAATATTTATAAATATAGGAGATATGAGTTAAATATAAAATTAAAAGTAAAAATATTATTGAGTAACTTATAAATATTAAGTTTTGCTATGATGTAATATATTATTATTAAAACTTTTTTTTTAAAAAATTAATATTACTTTAACAGCTCAATACTTATACACGGAATATATACTTATTAATTTATATTATAAAATATAATAATTGTTTTTTAAAAAATTAAATAACGATATAAAAGAGAAATAAGATAATTAAATTTTGCAAAAAAAAATATTTTTGTTTAATAAAAATTATGTTGCTTAATTTTTTTAAGTAAATTTAGTTATAAAATTATATAGTAATTGATAATAATTTTAACTTTAAATTCTAATTATATATAATGCTTAATAATTATTAAAATCAATGATATTTTATATTAATTAAAATTAAGATTTTTTAATAATTTTAATTATATATTTCTATAGCTTAAAAAGATATTTATTTAAAATAATTAAAATTCTTCTTAAGTAAAAATAATTGAATATTTTCATAGGTTTTTATAAAATGAAAATATATAGATAGGTTATTTGTGTTATATTAACAATTTATTTGATTCGTATCCTTCAATATTGATTTTAATAAAATATCAGTTTTACTTATATTTTGGCGTTAGCAACCTTATTTTATATAATTATTTACAAATTTTATAAAATTAATTATAAAAATTATAATTGAAGTCTTTAATTTTTAAAAATAAGTTTTATTATAAAATATATTTTAATATTCATTGTAATTTAAAAAAAAAAAAAATTGATTATAATTTAATTTATATTTTAATATTTAAATTCAAAATAAAAAATGCGCAATTTAAAATTGAAGATAATTGAATAAATTTACTTTTATTTTTATTTAAAAGCAATTTATTATATTATTTAAATATATGAGAAAAAACAATAATTGTAATAATTAATTTTTCTTATGAAATTAATTGTATGTTAATATAAAAAAGATATAATTAAAATAAATAAAAACAATTTTATTTTTTATATATTTAATTTTATATAGATTTATAAAATATTTATTATTAATAAGAAAAAGCAAATGATACTTTTAAAAATGGAGTGTTTTTTATAATTTTATTTATTAAATATATTTTATTTAAATATAAAAAATAAAAATAAAAATTATAATTTATTATTTATTATTTAAATTTGAAAATAAAATTGGTACCAAATCAACTATATTTTAATTAACTAAAAAAATCATATATGTAAAAAAAAAAATAATTATAAAAATAATAATATAAATTAAATATACATAAAATTAAATTATAAAAAAATAAGCAAAAAAAAAAATTTACCATACTAATATTATGAAGAATTAACTATTCGAAAACAAAAATATCATCTCATCTACTCCAATTAAAAAAGAAAAGGAATATAATTGTAGTTAAGATCTTTTTAATGATCAAGTAATTAACTCTCAAAATAAAATTCCTTAACAAATAAGAGAATCCCCTTGGGAAGTTTATTGTTGGAATCATTTATAAAACTTATCACCACCTATTAATACATTTTATAATTAAAACAAAAATTAAGAAGTTTCTCCTCATTAAAATATGTAAATAATTTATATTATTTACTTTATTTCAATTTATTAAAATTTTTTCTTTTAAATATAATAGGGTACCTAAAATTATGTAAAGTCCTTTTATTTCTTAAAACAATAATGCTAAATATTACGTTTATTAATCTCCAGTCTTTAAAATCTAATTTTAAAACTAGTAATTATTTATTTTTATATATAATTTACTTAAAAATATTAATAAATTAAAATCTACATATATATATATTATATATTATAAAAAACTAGCAAAATATAAATAAAAAAAATTGATTATTAATATATAATAATTTTTGTAAATTTTAAAATTAAATATTTTTTAATATTAAAAAAGAACCTTTTTAAATAAATTCTTAGAACATGAGTAAAATATAGAATACATATCTGATATAGTCTTATAAAGTTGTTAAAATAAATAAGTATTATATAAGCAACCTGAATAAGTAGAAGAAGAACTGAACGATAATAAATTGTGTAAAAGAATTATAAAGTTTACAGACGATGATAAATATAAACCTACTATAGAAAGCATATTTAAAAGAAACAATGAGCTAAACTCTATATAAAATAATTTATTTATATATAATTCAGGAGGTAGTAACTAAAAGAATAATTAGAATATTAATAATAATTTAGTAACCGAAAAAAATAATTTATTTTCAGATAATAATACTACAATAAAGAAAGCCTAAGAATTTTCAATATAAAAGAAATAATAAAAATGTAAAAAATTATTCGATTCACCACAAACAGCTCAAAAAGAATAGTAAGGTTTAAGTTAAACTCCTTCAACTAAAAAAAAAATTTTTTAATTGGAGAAAGTATTAAAAACTTCGAAAAAAAAAGAAAATGAAAAAATAAAATTCCTGTTAATCTGAAGAAAATTTAGAAGAATCTTAATAAAATTTATCTGAAAAGAACTAAGAATCATAAAAGAAAAAACTCTGCTGTAATTGTAAACGTTCTAGGTGTTTGAAATTATATTGCGAATGCTTTGCTAATTCAAAATATTGTGAAGGATGTAGCTGCTTAGATTGCTTAAATTAAAAATAATTCCAGAATGAAATTTAATAGGCTAAAATGAACATTTTGGATAGGAATAATGGAGCTTTTGATTCTAAAATAGAAAAATAAGCTAATATTAAAAGAATTGATGATGGACTTTAATCTAATGAAAAAGTTCATAGCAAAGGCTGTAATTGCAAAAAAAGCAATTGCTCAAAAAAATACTGCGAATGTTATTAATTGGGTGTTAAATGCACTAAACTTTGTAAATGTGAAAATTGTTAAAATATACATAATGCTGACAAAAATTCATCATTTAATTAATTCAGCATGAATAAAAATTAATAAAAAAGACCTTTCTTTAATTATTATACTTAAGAACCTTATTATTATTATTATCCTTTATATTTTGGAGGATATGAAGGACAATATGAACATTAATAAAATGTTTATGTTTATGATGAATAAAATTAACAACATAGTGAATATTAATAATATTAAAATAAATTCTAATAATAAATAAATTGTAAATAATAATAAAATTAAGATAGCTTTGGAGAAGAAGATTTATTAAAAAAGAAATAAAATTTTGATAATATTTAATAAAAATTTGTAAATAATAATGAAAATATTCATGATGATATTAAAAAAAAAGAAATTTTTAAAAAGGAATAGCTTAAGTTTGATGATAAATTTGGAGATTAGAGTGAATCTTATTCTTAAATTTAAAATGAAAATATTAACCATAATTAAAATTCTAGTGTTAAAAATAAAAGTTCTAATAAAAGAAATTCTAAAATAATATATAATGATTAATTAAAAAAAAAAAAGAATTTGATAAAATGATTTTTTATTTAAAAATTATTTCTAATTAACTTTTTTTTTGTATAAAATATTTATTTTATTTCTATTAATTTCTCATTTTATTTTATTTTATATCATAATTTATATATTATTAAAAAGAATATAAAATTAAAAATTATATAAATAATATCTATTTTCATTATATTTTTTTCTATATAAAATTATTTGTATTATAAGTATTATTATGATTTCTAAAAATATTATAAATATTATATTTTTTTTAATTTTTTTTTGTTTAGTGTTAATTAATTTTCAGTAATTTATTTAGTCTTCTTTTATTTATTTTACAATGACTTTAAGATCTATTGATCATATAAATTACATTATAAACCATAAGAACTGTAATTACCTTATTTACTATTTTTTAAAACTAAATTAATTAAAAAGTTTAAGTATATAATTTTGTGACTTGCGCAACTTTTTAAGATAAAAAATAGCATTGAATTAAATTTTAATTTTAACTTTTAAGTATTTAAGAAAATTATATTTTTAATTAATTTTAAGAAAAAAAGTATTTATTTAATAATATTTTTACCTAACTATTTAAATATAAATTTTTAACCTAAAATATTTTTAGAGTTAATTTCTTATTTTTATTTATTAATATTGCTTGAAAAAAAGTTATTATTATCTTTTAAAATAACTTTAAAATTTATAAATATAGAAGATATTTTTAATTATTATAATTTCTTAAAAAGTTAAATTTTGTAAATTATTTATTGACTGATTTCGTTTATTGTTTTTGTATTCATTTAAACCCGTTTATAATTAGTATTATTATTTGTTATATATTTTATTTTAGAAAAAAATTATTTTAAACTTTTAAAATACTTAAATCTTCAATCAAGTATTTTTTTTATTCTTTAATATTTATTTAAATTATACTTAATTTTATTATATTATAATTTCTTAATCTATACTTATCTTATTAAATATTTTTCTAAATTAAATTACTCTAGATACTGACTAATTATAACTACTTCTCCCCCTATTCTGTAATACATTAGACACTATAATAGTCTATTAACTAAATTAAGAAAAAATTTACTTCGCCAAAATATTTATGTATATTTAAATTTTAATCTATCTTTTTGAATATAATATAAATATATTTGTATAAAGAATTTTATTAAAAATACTTAAACTTAATTTACGGTAATTATTTTATTAAATATTAAGTTACAAATATTTGTATTATAAAGTAAAATATTAACCATCATAATTTTAAATAATCTTTAAATATAACTTAAATTATAACTTTTGCAAACTCTCCATTTTTTATTATACAAAAATCTCTTGCATAATCATTTTGCTTCAAAAAGAATTAATACTTTTAATATTTTATAAATGAGATTTAAAATATATTTATCTTAAAATATTTAATTTTCTCTTGTTAATAAATATATACCATAAACCAATTTCATTTAATGATCAAATATTAAATTTTCTTGATTTTTCAATATTTAATAGAATTTTTTTATTTATATAATAGTGCTGACTCATTGAATTATTCTCTATTTGATAATTCTTTTATTCAAAATAATTAACTTGTTTAAGATTTTAGAGATATAGATTTGTTAACTAAAAAAAAAAATATTAAATGATTTTTTATTTAAACTTATTTATTTTTAATATTTTTTATATATTTCATTATATAAAAAAGAATATCAATAAGCAATTCATTTACCAAAATTAAGTTTTAAAAAGGAGATATATTATAGACACAAAATAATGATTTTATTTTTCCCTAAAAAGACAAAAAAATAACTCAAATATATAAAAAACACATATTGTTAAATATGATAAATTATATTTATTTAGTTTAAATAAACAATATTTTTCATGCAAAAAAATATTATAAAATATAAATAAATAAATATATTGATTTTTTTGCTTTAATTTTTTTTAAAAAAATATTTATTTTATTCATCTAAGTCTTCTGGCTTCTCTTTCACATTCCATTAATTCAAGAACATCACCAATTTTGGTTGGTCCCTTGACGTTTCTGACTAATCTACGTCCTTTTTCACCTCCAGTAATTAATTCAACTTTAACTTATGTTATACCACCTCTAGATCCTTTTGATTTATTAAATTTATTATTAATTTACTTTTTTTATTTTTATTTTTTGTTTAATTTTGTTTACCGGTTTTTCCGAGGACTTCAACGATTCTTGCTTTTGTTGTTGTTTCTTAGTTCATTTTTGTTTTTTATTTTTTTTGTTTTTAATTATTTTATTTTTTAATTAATTATTATATATTTATTTTTTTCTTTTAAAATTAATTTCCTTTTTTAATATTTTTGGATTCTTCTATTTTTATATTAATTAACAAAATAGTATTTTTTTTAATAAAAAGTAATTTTAAAAATAAATCAAGCATATATCTATTAAATAAAATAATGAAAATGTGATATTAAGATAGTTATTTATATTTAAATTTAATATAATCAATTATTTATTTATTTTATTAATAATATAAACCTCGAATTTTAGCAAAAATTAAAATTTTTGCATTATATATTTTATTTTATTCACATAATTTTTATTTATTTTTTTTAAAAAAAATCTGTAAAAGTTTGCATTTTAGGATTATTTTATTTTTCTTATATTTAAAATTGTATAAAATATAAAATAACATATAATTTTTCTTTAAAAAAATATAAGATTTAATTAAATAATTTATAAATATATCTTTAAAAATGCTAATATTTTTTTTTTTTTTTATATTGAGATATATAATAATTAAATCAATAAAAAAATTATATTAATTTAATTAATGTGCTTAAATATTACATATGTTTATTTTATATATATATATTTTATATGCCTTTAAAACATTAAACTTCATTATTATACTATAAAATATACCAATTTTAAAACAGTCAGTATCTAGTTTAAATATTTAACAAAAATATTAAGATTTTATAATATTGTATTAACTTTTAATCATAATCAGTTTTTTATTCCAAACTTATATATTAATATTTAGGATTTAATAATTAAAATCAGCAAATTTAATTAAAATAAGTTATGTTTGATGCATATTTTTAATTAAATTCTAAATAAAACAATAGCAAATCTTAAAGCAAATAAAATTAGACACGACAATTTTAAAAAAATTATTAATAATAATTTTTTGTTTATAATTTAATCGTTATTTTGTTAAATTTAATTTAATTTTTAGTTAGATTTAAGATAACACACCAAGTAAATTTATTTTTATAGGTATTATTTTTATTTTTTAAGACTTTTTGTTATTTTTAAAATATAATTACGGATTAGTTTTTAAATATTTTTCTTTAAATTTTTTATTTATTTAATTAGATATTTATTATATCTAATTAAATTTTTTTTTTTTTTTTTTTTTAAATGTTAAGTTTTATTATTTATTTTTACAACAATTTGAATAATATTATTTGTTAATATATTTTTATGTATCAAATTTTTAATTATTTATTTATTTTTCCTTTTATTTTAAGAAATTAATTATGTTATTTTTATTTTATTTTTTAATTAATTTCATAAATTTATATTTAAATTAGATAATAATTTAATTTTTTTTTATAATAAAGTTCAAATAAAGGTTATTTATTGAAAGATTATTTAAACTATATTTAACTATTAAACATAAAAGTACTATTATTTATTAAATTAATTAATTTATTTGAAAAAAAGCTTTTGCTTTGAAAATTATTACCGTATATATTTTTTTATTTTGAATAAAAGTGCATACAATTTATTTTATAAAATAAAAAATATTTATATGAAAAAAAAAAAAAAAGATATAAAAAAAAGAGTTTAAAATAAAAAAAATAAAATATAATTAAATATTTAAAATAAAAATGCTTTTAAGGAAATATTCTTTAAACATAAAATAATTAATATAAATACCAAATTTTGGCATAAAACTAAGAAAGCCAGCTCGTCCAAGAAACACATACGACGAAGAAAAACTTGAGCATAAGAAATTAGAAAAGGAATTCCGTCGAAAAGTATGTGAAGATTTTTGGGTTACATAAAGAATTGTTGAAAATAATTATTTAGAAAAATATACACGTGAATAATTAGAATTGAAAAAAAAAGCTGATTAAAAGTTTCGAGATTAAATAATTACAATATCTTATTAAACTAAATAAAGGATTGAAAAATTAAAAGAAAAAAGCTAATTAGAAGAATCCAGACATAAAAAGCATTTACTAGAACAAGATGTAAAAGCAATGAATAAGCAAAGAGTTTTATAAATTCTAGAACATGAGTCTTAGAATTGGATTAATGAAAAAAATTTAAATAAAATAAATTAAGAAACAATTATTCCATCTACAGTTTTTAATGAAACTGAATATTATCTTAAACTTCATGAATAAGCCTATTTATATGAATAAGGAAGATTTAAAGATTTAGAAGAGGCGACTTTAGAATAACCTGAAATTTAATATAAAAATTCACTTATTATGCCTGTATGAAATTTTATTTTATAATATATATATTATACATTATTAATATTAATTTTTATCTTTTATAAAAAAAAGATTTATTAAGAAGTTGTTTCTTTAGTTAAATATTTAAAAAATACAGAAAGCTATAAACTTGAGAAAGAATTTTAAGTTGCAAAAAAAATTTTAAAAGATGATTTAACTAATAATAATTAAGAAAATTTAATATAAGAAAAATTAGTTAAATTAGAAAAAGCGTTTTAAAAATTAGTAAAAAAAAAAAAATATTAAAATATATTAATTTAACAAAATATAAAATATAATTAAATAATATAAAATATTAATTAGAGGAATGAATTGAAAAAAAAATAAGAATAACCTGACAATTAAATAGAATTTTTGCATTAACATTTATTAATTTTATATAACCTATTAAGAAAATGGTCTGAATATACAACGATTGTAAAAATGCCAAATGCAGCTGTAAGATCATTAATAGAATAAAAAAAAGGAAGAGCAAAAGGAGAATAAGTAATTAAAAAAAAAGATGAATTATGTTTAGATGAAGATAATGAAGAAGATTTGGAAATGAATAAAGATGATGAAAATTTCGCAAAACCAAAAGATATTTCTTAAGAAGAAGACAATATTTAAAGTAATGATGAAAAAGTTACTTCTGAAAGTGAAGACGAAATTGATATAAAGAAATTAATAGATGAAGAAAAAGAAAGAGAAGAATAAGTTAAAAAATAAAAATAGGAATTTATGGATAAGATATAAAAATTGTAATAAGATAAAGAAAACAAAGAAAAAAATTAAGAAAATTAAGATAATTAAGAAATAATTTTAGATTAAGAATAAATAATTCAAAATTTAATAAAATAATTTGAAAAAACTGCTGTAATAAATTATTAAAATTATATGAATCATATTAATATAAATATATATATAATATATATATATATTTATATAATTATTTATTAGTAATTTTTTTCAATACATATTTTTTTAATAATAAGGATGATTAATTATAATAAGAATTTAATATTGATTAAATTAGCAGTTTATATGATAATAAAGACAAAGCAGATTAATAAGAATATTTTAAAGGTCTTGATTTAGAAAATATCTTTCCAAGAGTATTATTAGATACTGCTTTTTAATTTGATAAAATTTAACATTTAGAATATCAAAATGTCGAATAAGCTCTTAAAGCCGAAGAAAAAATCGATTTAATAAAAGGAGATGACCCCAATTAATCTCCTCGTAAATTTGAAACTTCATTAATTGTTGAAGTATTTAAAGAAAGAAGTACTTAATTGAGATAGTAAGTAATTTCAAGACCTAATTAAATTAAATTAAATGATATAGATACTCTTTTAGATTTAATAGGCGAAATAAGAGTTTAAGAAAGCGAATTTTTGTTAAGAATTTGGAATAATTTTTGATGTTAAAATTAATACAATACAAAATAGAAATGTAATTATTTTTATTTTTTTTATATTTTATATTTTAAATAATTTTTTATTTTTAATTTTTTTTTAAAAAAAAATTATATGTTTAAATAATTTAAAAAAGACTATTTAAATAAAATAAAATATAAAAAAAAAAATTAAATTAATAAATAATAAAAAAAGTAATATTTATACTGATATATATCATACTTTTTTGTTAAATAAATTACATTTTTTTTTGTTTATTAAATTTAATAAAAATATCTTTTTACGAAAAAAATAAATAAAAAAAAATCATTAATAGAACTATGTATATTTTTTAAATAACCTTTCATTCGTTAAATTAGAACTATATAAATTTTTAAGAATAAAATCAGCATTTATTTTATGAGTAGAATTTCTTATAAAATGAATACATTCATCAAACTCCTTTTCAATAATCTTTTTTTCGAAATAACCAAATATTGCTATTCCTAATCTAAAAAAAACTATTTCTCCTTATAAAAGAAATATATCCCAAATTTTACTTTTTAACCAAAAAAATAAATAAATAAATATAAATATATAAAAATACATAACGAGATTAAAAGGAAATGCTCTACTATAGAAAGTATAAAACCATTCAATTAAAAACATATCTAATTAAACTCCTTATCTTTTTAAGTGTTTCATACAATTTGGGTATTTATCTTTTAGGAAATATTCAAATGTTTTTATATATATTTCTATTTTTTGTTTGTTAAACATAAATAAATTTTAAAAAAATTCAGATCCGCAAATTAAATTTGTAAAGCATTTGAAAGCTTTATATCTGTTTCCTAAATTAAGAAATAATATTGCTGCGGGATAGGCCATTCCTTATGTATACTCAATATCTTTTCTACATTACTTTTAATATTTTAAAATATATTAAATAAATATTATATGTATATAAAATACATGAAATTTTTCAAGAATGTCTTATAGATTTTCATTTATAACTTATCCATCATTAAATAAGGTAAAATTGGGATATGTCCTTTATAAATCACTATCTTTTTTGTTTTTTTTTTCAGTATTTTATTTATAAAAATTTGATTATTATTATATATAAAATACTTATTAGCCTTTTAGTATTTTCATCTATTGGAATAATTTTTATTTCTTCATCTAAGTTTTGGTAGTATTTTTTATTAATTTATATTATGTTTCCAATAAGCTATAAAAAAAAAAAAAAAATTAACTCAATAATAAAATAAATACATAAGGCCATATTTTACTCCTAACGCAAGAAGGAATATTATTTTGTTTCTTTATTAAATTATTGACTTTTTGAATTATAATTTCTTATTTGTGCTTATGGTAAATTATTTTATCTTAAAAAATAGTTTAAACATCATTAATAAACTCTTTCTATAAATCACTCAATTAGTTTTCTTGATTTTCTAAAAGTTTATTTATATTTTCAATGTCTTAATTTGATAATTATTTTAAAGTAATATTTTCAAATTCAGGGTTATTATGATCTTCAGTTTAGCAAATTATATTTTCTATAGTTTTTTTTTCAATTGAATTTTTATTTGATATTTAATCTTCTTCGACAAACCTAACTTTTTCGGTTTTGGTATTTTTCATATTATCTTAAGAGTTTTCTTAAACATTTAAAACATCTTAATTTGAATTCTATTTTGTGAAATCAAATTAATCTGGTGAATTTATTATTGTCGAAGTTTCTGTATAACTATATTCTTTAATCATAGATTTTAAATTATAAATGTCTTTTTTGTATGCTTATAATTGCTCATTTGATATTGCATGTTACATTTTAGATGTTATTAATTATTTTTCTAATATTTCTATGTATTTTTGCTGCGATAAACAACGGTCCTTTTTTATATAAAAATAAATTTAAGGTATTTTATTTATTAATTTAATATTTTATTAAATTTTTTGGATAGAATAAATATTTTTGTATGCAGAAATTTTTAAATTTTACATTTCGGTATATATTACATTTTTCTAAGATAATTCATGGTTGTATTTTTCTAAAATTGTAGTTAGTTAAACTTTTTTTTCAGTTAGATTTTTTATTTCTTTTTGTTATTCTAGAATTATTTATTCAAGGTTATTTATTAATATTTTAAGTGATTCATATTCTTTCATTTTTTTATTTATTTAAGTATATTAAAAAACAAAAAATAATATTTTTTTTTTTAATAAAATTTAAAATTCAGAAAATTAAAAAAAATACGAAATAATAATAAAATATTAAAAGTAATAAAAAAAATTAAAATAATTAAAAATTAGATATAAATAAATAAATAATTAGACAAATATATTTCATAATTTAATTTGAAAAATTTTAATTAAAAATAAAATATAGAAGATATAAAAATGAAAAAAAAATATTGTTATTTAATATATATATAAAAAAAATTAATTAAAAAATAAATAAAAAGAATAATGATTTTCAACATAATAATAAAAATAATTTAAATTTATTTTTATAATTAACTATCTATTCTAAAAAATATTATTATTAAATAAATATATTTATTTATAAAATACATGAAAAAATAAGATAGATAAATAAAAAAATATATATTTATATTAATAAATATAAATATATATATATATATATATATATATTTATAATTATAATATAATATATTTATATATATAATTTTGGTTTTAAAAAAAAATTAGAAATTATATATATTATTATATTTTTATATAAAATTATTTAATTTGTTAGTTAATAGAAAAATGTTTATAAATTAATTAATTAAAAAATATATTATTATAATATATATATATATATATATTTCAATTATTATTAAGTTTTAATTATTTTTTATTTGAATTATTTTTATTTCTTACAAAATATCTTTATTTTCTTTATCGCTATCTAACATTTTTCTTTTCGAATTAATTATTTAATTGTTTTGAGTATTTTTTTATGTTTTTTTATCTTCATATTTATATTCAAGTTCTTAGCATTTAGATTAGTAATATTTAAAGCTAGCTTTTTTTCTTTTAATTAATAAACTTAAAATTAAAGTTCTCTTTCTTTATCCTTTTATTTAATAAAAAAATATATATAAAATATTTTTTCATATTAAAAACATTTATGTTCTTAAGAATATTTTTGAAAATATTTTTAATAATATTAACATCATTTTATGAATTTAGTTAATCAATATATTATTATTTATCAAAGAATTCTTTTTACTTTCTTGTAAATAAACTTTTATTGCTTAATAAAATTCCTTTTCTTAGTATTCTTTTTATTTTAAAGTTTCTGTTAAATCCTATTATTTAAATATTTTTTTTTAAATAATTATAATTATAAACTTCATTTTTTTTAGTTAATTCTAATTAATTTGAAATGTCTTTCATTATTTATGAAGTAGTCTAACCATATGAAATTTTTTATAGTATATCTGTTATTTTACTTTCTGCTATATTTTTATATTTATTAAACTATTCTGTTATGTTTAATATTTTTTCTTCTAGTTTTTTTATTGCATTTTCATCTTGTAAATTATTTTATTATAAATTGCTTTTTTATTAATCTTCTAATTTTTTATCTAAAAGCATGTTTTAATATTATTGTTTTAATTATTAAAATTGTTCTCTTTCTTTTTATAAATCATATTATAAACTTTTTAATAAATACAATTTTTTAATAAGATTTGCTTTTTTTTTTTATTATATAAATTTTTACTCTTCTAAATAACTTTAATTTTTTTATCTATTTAATTATATTAATTAGAGCTGATTCTATATTTTTTCATTTTCTAATGATTTTATTTTTAATTATTCCTTATTTATTTATATTTATTAAATAAAAATATATTTATAAATAAATATTACACTTATTATTTAATTTTTATCTTCCAAACTAATTATTTTTCTTTTAATATTCTGAACTTCATTTGTAAAGTATTATCTTTTATATCATCCTCAAATTTTAGCATTTATTAAATTTTCTAATCTTTTTCAATTTATTATTTTTCATATTTTTGAATAATCTTTTTTTATCATCTAATAAAACTTCATATTATTTAATCTTTTAAATCATACTAGAGTTTTATCTTTATAATTCTTAAAATTTCTCATTTAAACTTTTATTTTCATTAGTTAAAATTTACATTTCTTAACACTTATGTTTTACTAATTCTTCATATTTTTATTTTTTAATTTCTCTTATTCTAATTATTTATTATTAAATTAAATAGTTTAATTAAGAGTTTCTATTTCCTTTATATTATTAAAAATAAATATATATATATATATATACTAAAATATATATAAAAATAAACTTCTTTTAATTTAATTGTATTAAGGTTATTTTTTTCTTCATTTTCATTTTTAAGATTTAATTATTCCATATAATAATAAGATTCTTTTTCTAGTTTAGAATTTAAGTATTGTATTTCATTATTTTTTTAATTAATGATTTTATTATTATGTTCTTCTTGGAGTCTTAAGAAGTTTATTTATGCTTCAATTTCCAAAATTTAATTTTATTTATTTTTTAAGTCAAATTATAAATTGCTTTCTTATTTAGTTTTTAGTTCTAATTAATGAATATAATTTTAACATGAAGAATCTAATTTTTCATTGTGATTTTCTAGTTATTAAATTTGTTATTTCTATTCTTCTACTAAGCTTTATAATTCTATATTTTATATTTATATTTGTTGTTGGTTTTCGTTATTTTATAGTAATTGTATTTCATATCTTTCTATTCTCTCTTAATGATTATGTTAATTATTCTTTTTTTAAAAAAAAAGTATAAAAATTTAATTATAAAAAAAAATAAAAAATATTTAGTTACATTAATCAATAGCTTTAATTCTGCTATTTCTAGTTTATTTTATTATGATTATTCATTTAAATGTTATTGTTATTAATCATAAAAGTTATATTATTATTCTATCCTATTATTTATTTATTTTAAAAAATATTATAAAATCATAATTTATACTCTTGTTCTTTTTCATCAAGTTTTAAAATTAATGTATTAAGCTCTTATTATAAAGATTATTCTTTATCTAAATTTATTAATTCTATTCTTCTACTAAGCTTTATAATTCTATATTTTATATTTATATTTGTTGTTGGTTTTCGTTATTTTATAGTAATTGTATTTCATATCTTTCTATTCTCTCTTAATGATTATGTTAATTATTCTTTTTTAAAAAAAAGTATAAAATTTAATTATAAAAAAAATAAAAATATTTAGTTACATTAATCAATAGCTTTAATTCTGCTATTTCTAGTTTATTTTATTATGATTATTCATTTAAATGTTATTATTATTAATCATAAAAGTTATATTATTATTCTATCCTATTATTTATTTATTTTAAAAAATATTATAAAATCATAATTTATACTCTTGTTCTTTTTCATCAAGTTTTAAAATTAATGTATTAAGCTCTTATTATAAAGATTATTCTTTATCTAAATTTAATTAATCCAATTTAATGTAGTTTATTTTAAAATTAATGTTTTATATATTCAAACTCCTATAAATATTAAATTAAATTATTTAGACAAATTTAGTTTTCATCATTCTAGTTGTTTTAAAGATTATTTATTTATTAATTATATTCAATTTATTATTTTATCTATATAAATTTCTCATCAATTTTAACTTTATTATAATTTAATTTAATAAAATAAAGAAATTATATTATAATATTTTTAAATAAAAGAAAGTTACCTTATTCATTTTTAACATTATCAATTTATAGGTTTAAATTATTCAGAAATTAAAATTAAATTTTTTTAATTAGCATTTCGATATTTTAAACATCTTTAATATCAATATCTGTATTTAAATAATTATTATTATCTTATTCTTAAATAATTAATTATAATCTTTTAATTTCACTTTTCAATTGTTAAACGTTTCCACTTAAATCTTCATTTATTACAGCCTTTTTTCAAAAAAAAAAAACATTAAATATTTAAAATTTTTAAATAATAATACTTGGTTTTTTATAATCTTAACTCTTTATGCAAACTTAAGTGTAGATAAAGTTTCTTAATATTAGCTACTGGCTTCACTACACATAGCAATCATAAAAGTTTTTGAATTTCCACCTAAAGAATCTTTAAGTAAAAAAGTAAGTTTAACTATCTCTATATGGAATATGTCTTTGTTTTCCATTTGAAAATTATTCAGCTAAAGCATTAATTACTAATCCTATATTTATTTAAATTTTTTTTACAAAAAAAAAAACATAAATAAAAAAATAGATAATTTTTAAAAAAAACCTAAAGTTGTTAAAGATTTATTAATATTTTAAGCTTCTTTTAATCTTTCTCCAGCTGAAACAGCTTGTTTTTATCTTTCAGACCCAGCAAGATCAACAAAATAGATTTTTGAGTCTTTAACATGAGCAACTTCATAATTTTACTACTAAATTTTTTACTAGACACTTAAACAAAATACTGAATGAGATCTACTAGAATATTCATTCATATTAGTCATTCCTACATGTCTTTTTTACTACCCTTTAACCAACATACTGACCGCATCTCTAGAGGAAGAAATAACTTCCTAAGTTAAATTTTCAACATAAATTCCTTTTTAAATATCTTCTCTTAATTATAAAGTATCATAATTTAAGGAAAGCAAATCGTAAATTTATTCGTTATATATTTCTAAATAACTACAGCTTATTATATATTCGATTTCTTTTCGCTTTTCGGCTTAATTTAAAAGTCTAAAAATATAATCAAATACTCTCATTTGTAATCCATTATGTATATTTTCTGTTATTTAGTGTTATTATAGTTGTATTTAGTCCAATTAGTTTAGTTTTCCTAACATTGTGTATGTTTTACCTGAACCAGTCTAACCGTATGCGAATATACATGCATTGTATCATTCTAAGCAAGTGTCTGTTAAGGGTTTACCTATTACATTGAATACTTCTTCTTGAGTAGATTGTGGACCAAATACATAATCATATTAAAAAGATTTGTTTTCAACTTAAATTGTGTTTGGGTTATTCTTTTTTTTAAGTTTATTTATTTTGTTTGATTTTTTTTGGGTTTTACTTAGTCTAATTGAATACAGGGTTGAGCACCTTCTTAAATTTCACGAGAATTTAGTTAGCGAACACGAACATGAACTTAAATGTTTTAGGGTGTTTCTTATTTATTCATTTTTTGTTTGTTTGTTTAGTTTTTTTTTTTTTTGAATTTTATTTGTATTTTATTTATTTTTTATTTTATTTTATTTTATTTTTTAGCTGTTTAAAATAAATATATTTAGGTATTGATATATATTTTTTGTATATATACTTTTAATTTTTTTTTTTTAAATATATGTTTGTGTTTGTGATTAAAAAATTATACTTTATATTTATTTATTTTAAAAAATTTCTTTTTGATTTTTATATGTTTTATTACATTAATTAAGATTTTTAAATTTTTTTTTAAATTTAAAATTTAAAAATAATTTTTCAACTTTTTCGTTAAATATATAAATATAAAAAAATAGATTTATTATATAAAAAAAGATAAATTTATTATTAATTATATATAATATATAAATATTATAGTTTTCATATTATAATTATAAAACAAAATTATTTTTATGTATTTTATTTAATTCTTAATTAATAAACTATAATTTAGTTCATTTTCCCTCAAAATTATTTTTTTACAAAAATATAAAATTATAAATTAAAACTTAATTAAAATAATTGATATGTCATCTTATATGAAATTCTATAAAAGATTTAGATGATAAAAAATATAAAATAATAATTTGTACATCAAAAAAATTTTACGATTTTATTTATAAAATTTTCTTTTAAATATAAAATTGATTTATATTTATTGTAAAAAGATTTTATATTTTGTCTTTTAATTTAAAATAAAATTTATTATGAATTAATATTTCTGATGGATTCATTTTATAATAAATGCATGATAATTTAATTTATCAATAGATAAATATAAAGAATGTAATATTTATAAATACATTAATAATAATAAAAATATAGATTTAGATACTTTAATAATAAATAAAAATACAAAGTTAATAATAAATAAAAATACAAAGTTAATAATAAATAAAAATAAAAAATTAAATAAGTTAAAATAATATCCGAAAAAAATCATTATAAAAAGGCAGAAAATTTTTAAAAAATATATATTTATAATAACAAATTAATTAACAAATATATATATATATATATATTTATATATATATATATATATATATATATTTATTTATATATATATAACAACATCTATATAATCATAAACTAATAATATATATACTAATTAAATAATTTCGCTTCTACTCCTTTTTTAATTTAAAAAATTTACAAAGTTTAATTTAAAACTTTTAATATATTTTCATAAATTTATTTATTAATTATTAAATTCTTTTAAAATTAAAGATGTATTTTAAATTATAATAGTTATAACTTTGACATATTTTTTTTTAATTATAACTAATTTAAATAAAAACTTTATTTTATACAAACTATAAACATTAGTTATCAATATAAATATATAAAATCAAACCTTTATTGTAATTGATAAAATTTATATTTTCCGCCATTGATTTGATAGACAATTAGTTTAAGTATAGCGAAACTTCAATAAGCATTTTTATTGAATTAGTGTAAAATTTTATGATTAAATATAATAAGGATTTATCTTTATTTATTATGATAAGATTTTTCTTTTTAAATAAAATGTATAGATTGATAAGATAAAGAATATAATTTTTGTGAAAATTATTAATTTTTTATATATTAAATCAATCAAAGCATAAAAAAATATATATTAATTGAAAGTAACTAAAAATATTCAAGATTAAATACTTAATAAAGAAAATCAAATTGATAGAAAACATTAGAAATGTGTATAGGATTAATTAGATATTTATGCTTTGTTTATAGGTTTATATATCTAAAAATAGAAAACGTATAAAAAAATTAAAAAAAGAGTTAATAACTATAGATTATAGTAATAGTCAAATATAATTAGAAATTTTATCAAAACTAGCTTCTTATTATAATTTATCTGTCGAGGATATTCTTTTAATAATTTAAATATAAGTTGATCAATTTAAGAATACATAATATATAAAAATAGTTAAATAAGCTGCTTATGATTATATTGAAATCCTACAGAAAATTAATTTGATGAAATATAGAGACTTAAAGATTGGGGAAAAAAAGAAAAAAATTTATTAAAATATGATTATGGGCAAACAAAAAAATTATTTAAAATAAAAAAAAAGTGCTTAAATTTGTTAAAAATAAAAAATATTTTTAAACAATAAAATTTAATAATTAAAATTAGAATAATTATAAACTAAAAAGATAAATATATTTTTAAAATAAATAAAAAAATATCTTTAGTATATATATAAATAATATATATATTATAAAGTATGTCCAATTTTATTTAAAAAAGTTTATTTTAATATAAATACTCTTACTTTGGCATTGCAAGTATTTTATCTCTAATTTTTTGAATCTTCTTCTAGATATTTGTCTATTGCTTGCGGTATATAATCATATTTCTTCTTCTGTTATAGTTAATACTTGTAATTATATTATGAATTATATTTACGGTATTTTTTATTTTTAGTTATTGTATATAATTATTTTAATATTGTAAAAAAATAGGATTTCGAAGTAAAAGAATTTAAAATTAAAGATTAAAATAATGATTTATAAACTAAAAAGAGATTGATTTAAGACATAAGAAATCAATTATATGAATTCTATTTTTTATATTTTTAAAAGGTAAGAAAAAGAATATTTGATTAAAAAATAAAACATTAATAATGATTAAATATATTATAAATAATTTTAATATAATAAATATATATTAATATAAAATATAAATATTATTTAAAATTATTTATTATTATTATATATATAAATTAATAATTCCACTTCACTTATTAAAACAAATTAATATTTATATTTTCAAAAATGTATATTATGGTGCTTTTCAATAAAATTCTTTTTTTTATGATCCCTTATTAGATCTTTTATATCATTAATAACCTTTAAATTGAAAAAAAATAACATTTATATAATAATTTATTTACTTTCAATTTGCTATCTTTTTATTTTATATTTTAATATTCAGGAGAATCTTTTAAATTTAGAAATCTTTTATCTTTTGAATTTATAGACTTAAACTTTTATTAAAAATAAAATAAAATTTATATACTTAATAATTATTTTATTAAACAAAATTACTTATTATTTTTAATTATCTTATTAAGTAATTAATTTATCTTTATAATTTTCCTTTTAATATTTTATTTATTAAGATTCTGTTTATAATTCTTTAATTTTATTCATTAATTCGATTTTTTGTTCAATACTTTTTTAATTTTCATTTTTTAAATTTTTAATTATTTCTTCATATTTTTATTCAGTTTATTTTAATATTAAATTCTATTAATTTTATTTTATTTTTTTGTTTGAAAAGTTATTAATGTCATTTATATTTTTTACCTCTCCTTTTAAGATTTCTTTTTCTGAAGAATTTTTAAATATAATTTCTTATAATTCTTATATTTTTAACTACTGTTATAATAACAAATCATCATTTTTATTATGATTTTCTTATATTTTTTTCATTTTTTGGTTTAATTCTTCTTTTAAGTTCTCAAGTTCATTTTCTTTATATTTAAACTTGCTATTAATTTCTTCTTTTTAATTTTATAATTAAGATTATTGTTTTTTAATTAAATTCTCTTAGAAGTTTTAACTATTTTAAAAGCAATTATATTTCTCTTTAAGTATTTAATTCTCATTTTATAATTCAATTAGCTTATATTAATATAAAATTATTAAAAAAATAAAAAAAAAATACTTTTATTAATTCTATACTTTATGTTAATTTAACATATTATTCATTTTCAATATCTTTTTTTAAATTATTAATAGCCTCTTAGCAATCTTAAAGTTATTTTGCTAATAAATCTAGAGAAGCCTTGTCTTAAATTTTTTCGTTTCTTAATTAAGAAATTTCATTTTCTTATTATTTTATATTTTATTTATATTAATCACATTTATTTTTAAAAGAGTTTAATTATTCCTGATTATAAATACTTTGTAAATCTAGATTAACTTTTTATTCTTTTTATATTTTGTTTTCTTATTTATATTATTTAAGATGATTTTCTAATTCATTTATTAACTTAAAAATTAAATATATATGAATATATATATATGATTATAAATATATATATATATATATATATATATATATATATTTATATTTATATATATATCTTTTATTATATATGTAAATATTTATTATTTTTTTATATCTATATTTTTTTTTATTACTTCTTAATATTATTAATTTTATTTGATAATTTTTTATATTTATATTTCTTATTCTTAATTTTGCCTTTATAAGTTATATATTATATTCTATTATTCTTTTGATTAAATTTCATTTTCTTGTACTTTTTTTTGATATTTTTATTGATTTTCAAATACAGCTTGGTTTAATTCTTCTATTTTTTAATTATATTATTATTTTATTATTTTTTATTATATAAAATTATTATTTTTAAAATCTATTTGTTTATTTTCTTCTTATTTTTTATTAAGTTCTTACTATAGTCTTTTTATATTTTCTAATAAACTTAGTTTTTCACTATTATAATTGTCTTTTGTTTAATTTAATTAATTATCTAAAAAATCTATTTATTATTTTTATTCATTAATTTAAATATTTAAAGAATTTATTTATTTTTTTAATTATTATTCCTATATTTTTATTTTTTTTTATAATATTATTTGTCTTAATAAAAAATAAAAAAAACTTTTTGCTCTTATTTATCTTCTTTATATAATATTTATTCTTTTATTTCTTTGAGTATATTTTTGCATTATTTATACTTATTTTTGACGATGTCATTTGTTTTTTATTATTATTACATCTCTTTAAATAACTTATTACTATATGATGTTTAATCTACTAAAAGTTCTCCTATTTCTCTTGTTCTATAAAATAATATTTTAAATTCTTACTAAAGTTTTTCTTTTTTCCAATCATCTAGTTTTTGATTTAATATACAATCCCCGAAAGTATTCAAATTAGTTGCATCATAGGCTTTTTAATTTCTTATTTCCATTTTTTTTAAAAGGCTTTAACTCAGACCTGAATTTAAATCATCACTGGAAAATATAGAAGAAGACGAAGAAGATGAAATAGATAAATAATTGTTTAAGTTATTATTTAAATTATTGTTTAAGTTTAATTAAGAAACTTATATATGGGTTTTACTATCTCGATTATTGTTAGTACTATGATTGGATTTTTTAAATAAATAACTATTATCAGTTTTTGATTTTTTTTTTTTTTTCTAATATTATTTGTCATTTTAACGATTATTTTACAAATATGGTATTTATTTTTTTATTTCCAAACTTATTTTTTTTATTTTATTTTTTTATTATTATATTATTATTTACTTAAATGAAGGAGATAATGATTTATTTATATTCAAAGATGATTTCCGCTTTATTGAAGTTTTTTTAGGAGTTGAATGTGAGGAATTATTTTTTTTCTTGCTTGGTTTTTAAGATATTTTTAAATAATGGTTTTATGTTTTTATGGGATTTGATTATCTTCTTTTTTAAAATATACTATTTAGATTATTATTACTTTTTTTTTAACTTTCTAATAGTACTTATAATTTATTTTCTTATAATCTATTTGAACTATAAGTAAAATTTTTTGACATTTTTTTTTTTTTAAGTTTTTTTTTTTTTTTTTTTTTTCAAATATAAATAAAATAAATTTTTAAATTAAATGTATTAGAAAAAAAAATATATATATAATTAATAAAATAAATATATATAATAATAAAAAATACATATCTATTTTCAATTAAAAATAAATATAAAAAATTATATTAAATTTTTTTTAAAATTCATTCATATTTTTTGTGAGTATTAAAAATAATAATTAAACTATGCTTAATATAATTATATATTATGGAATATAAATTATAAGTCCAATAATCTTTACTTTAGTCTTTTTACTCTTAGTTTTTAGTATAAGACATTATATATCAGAAATATATTATAGATTCATAAATAAAAAATTACAAATAACTCCAGACACAGTAATTCTAATAACAGGTGCAAGTAATGGAATAGGATCTTAATTATGTGAATACTTAATAAAAAATCATAAACCGATAATAATAAATATTGATATAGTAAGAGACGAATAACAAGAATCTTATTTATTAGAAAGATATAATTATAAATTATAATATATAAATTGTGATTTGAATAATAAATAAAAAGTAAATGAAACATTCTAAGATATAATAGAAAATTATAAAAAAGTTGATATATTGATTAATAATGCTGCAGTTGCATGTTTATAATATTTTTAAAATTTAAGTTTTTCTTAATTTAAAAAAGCATAGCAAATAAATCTTTTATCATATATATAGTTATGTCTTTTATTTTTAAATCAATCTAATATTTTAAAAGGAGAAAAACATATTTTAAATATTGGATCAGTAGCTGGATACTAGATAGGATTAAAAACTATTGAATATGCAGCCAGTAAACATGGACTTGTTTAATTTCATGATTGTTTAAGGATGGATTTAAAAACAGAAAAATATTAAAATGTTTAATTAACTATTATAAATCCTTATTAAGTAAATACTTAATTATTTAAAGGATTTTAAACTATATTTTAGTTTATTTTACCTACTTTAGATACTAATAGAGTAGCTAGAATTATTTATTAAAGTTTAATTTAAAGAAAATAAGTGGTTTTTATAGAATTTTATTACGAATTTATTTTACATTTTTTAAAATGCTTACCAACCTTTATTTAGGATACTATTTTAATTATACTTTTGGGAAATAAAGTTGATTAATTAAAAGGATATAATAAATGAATATAATATAATAAATAAATAAAAAATATTGATATAGGAGAATATATTATTGTGTAGTTTTAATAAAAATATTTATGATAAATGTTTTTAATGTTATTAACAAAATTTATTATAAATAAATATAAAAAAAAATATTATTAATATAAATATAATTTATTAAAATAATTTAATATATATTTTATAAATATTAAATAATATCTAATTAAGATATTCTTAATTTTATTATTATAAGAAAATAATACAATAGTGAAAAAAAATATAGACGGAAACTTAAAAAATAAAAAAATTCAAATACAATAATATAATCTATGTTATAATATATATAATTAATAATATTTAATGTATATAATTTGTAAATATTTATAATTCATATTTTTTATATAAAAAATATAATCATATTTATTAATTTATTTACATTATTTAATTGAATAGACAATATTTATTTAAAATTTTCTGATTATAATAATCTAAATACTCGAAAAAAGTATATATAAGAATAATATAAGAATATATATTAAAAATTTTTACATATAATATTTATTGTATAAAATGAATTTAATTTAATAATTTTATGAAATTTAATGTATGAAATAATAGAAATAATAAAAAAAATATTATTTATTAATATTAGAAATTATAATATTTATTAAAAAGTAATGTTTTTAAATATAAATAGAAATCTTTATATATATAATTATTTTTATTTAATAATATATTTTAAAAAATTAATTATTGTTATTAATTCAAAAGCATATATTAAAAATTTCAAAAACATTAATATTTTAAAATAATTAAATAATTGATTTTAATTCTATGCATTTTTAATTATATATTTTATAAGTGAATTTATAATTTTTTTTAATGTTATAAAAATATTACTTTAATTTTTAATTTTTATATATTTTTTAATTATTACAAAAAAAAAAAAAAACTAATCTATTTTTATAAAAATAAAGTAATTTAAATTAACAAATGAAGCAAATAATAAATTTAAAATAAAAAAGTTCAGATAATGATAGTAACAAAAATTTACTTAAAAATATATATGTTATTATTTTAAAAATAAAATAAAATAATTTTAAAAATATAATAATTTTTAAAATATAATTATTATAAACATTATCTATCCATTTTAATAAATAAATTTAATTTTCTAAAAATAAAAAAATGCAACAAAAAAAAGATTTACCTGCTTATTGTCTACCAAATGTTCATCATTAAAGAAATCTGTTTTATTTTGGCTCAATAGAATTTAATAGTGATTTCGACAGTGGGAATATGTTAAAAGTTGAAAGAAATCACGAATTACTTGGATTAAATGTATGAAATAAAATCTGAAAAAAAAAAAAAAAAAAAACTATCTTTTTTATTTTATTAAAAAATAAAAAAATAAAAGTTTAATATCTGGATTATGCCAGACGCATATTTGACATAAAAAGAAATGAAATATAAGACTTGGTTTCATTTTTCTGTCTAAGGAGTAAGCAAGAATACCATAATTAACATGACTTTGAAAGACATTAATTTTCAAGTAAAAATTTGTTAAATAAAAATATTTTAATAACAAAAAATATCAAGTAAAAATTATATAAAGATGGACATTAGCCAGTATTTAAATCTTCAGTAAATAATTAATGGCAAAGATTAGACTAGAATATTGCTAATACAATAGTATAATATTATTATATATAAATATATTTTATGTTATATTTTTTATTTTTTTAAATAAAACTTATATTTTAAACATAAATTATATTTAATATTTTTTAAATAAAAGGTTTAAACTGAAAATGGAATGGATATTACATTTACTTATACTTTTTAAGATACCGATGAATTAGTTTATTTTGCTTTTACTTATCCTTGGTCTTATACTGATAATTAAGTTAATATAAAAATTCGATTTTTAAAAAATTAATATATAATATTTATGTATTTATTTTTTAATTTTAGGAAATGCTTGATGAAATAGAAAATACATATTAATTTGATAAAGAAATATATTTCCATAGATCAGTTTTAGTTTATTCAAAAGAATATAGAAACGTAGAACTAATAACAATTACATCTAGCAATAGTAAATCATAAGATTAATTAAAACTTTAGTCTAAAATTTCATTTCCATAACAAAAATATCCATTATTGTAAATATTAATATATATTATTTAAAAAACAAACAAAAAATTTAATAAATTAACATAAAATAGTTTTCCAAATAAACGATATATATTCATATCTACTAGAGTTCATCCAGGAGAAGTTCCTGGATCTCATGTATTTAACGGAATGTTGAAAATGCTTTTAGATAAACAAGATATTCGGTAAAAATAATACATATATATTTTTTAAAAAAAAACCAAAAAAAAAGATCAAAGAATTTAAGAGAAAATTTTGTTTTTGTAATGATTCCTTTAATAAATCCTGATGGTGTAAGTAGAGGCCATTATAGAACAGATTCTTAAGGTTGTAATTTGAATAGATTCTATATAAATCCAGGACTGGATTAGCCTGAAATATATTCTATAAAAGAGTTATTGATGCATTTGTATGATAAAGGTTAACTTTATTGTTATATGGATTTACATGCCCAAGCAAGTAAAAAAGGGTCTTTTATTTATGGAAATTGCATGGACTATAAAAGTTAAATTGAGTGTAATTTACTCACTAAATTAATGGCTTTAAATACTCCCTATTTTGAATATGAGTTGTGTAATTTTACAGAAAAAAATATGTATTCTAAAGATAAAAGTGATGGGCTTTCTAAAGAAGGAGCAGGAAGAGTTGCTTTATATAAATAAACTAGAAATTCTCTTTGTTATACTTTGGAATGTAACTATAATATGCCTTTTAATTTAAATACTATGTATTCGAGAAGTTCAAATTATGATTTTAAAGGTTTTTTATTAATATTTTTTTCTATAATATATTTTTAAAAGAAGGTAAATTTGAAATAGATTAAAATATTTTTAATATGATTTCTTAAAGTAATGGTATTGAATAAAAATTATGTGATTATCCATATATTTCATCACATTATGCAAATTTAGGAGAAGTAATTAAAAATAAAAAATATATAAATATTATATATATATGTATATTATATATTTATATATATATATATATATATAAATATATATATTATATATATTATATTTATTTCTTTCTCTAAAGGGAATGCTTGAAGCTATTTTAGACTTAAATAAAATTAATCCGATTTCAAGAATTCCAAATAGTCCTTATAAAAATTATACAACATTAAAAATGTAAATTGCATTTTAAACTATGAAACAGTTACCTTATAGGTATTTTTATTATTTAAATTCTGTTTTTATTTATTTTTATTTTATAGGTTTGATAATTATTTACGAAATATAATAAAAATGTTATCTTGTTAAAATCCTTTACCTAATTTTAGATATTTATATATGTATGTAGAAAAAGGGTTAAAATATAATATATAAACAGAAGTTGAATAAAGCAAAGAAAAAAAAATAAAAAAGAAATAAATTAATAATAATACTAATTATGTAAAAATTAAAAATTTTTAATTACCTTAATAAACAAATTAAAATGAAAAATTAAATACAGTATTCATATCTAATAAAATAAAATAAAAAAATGAAAACAGTTAATTAAAATAATTATAACTTAATCCTCATATTTAAAAATTAAATGATAATAATGAACTTAAAGAAATAAAAAATAGAAAATTGGCCTAAATTAATTCCTTAAATAGTATTGATTCCAAAGAATAGTATAAAATTTAATTTTAACTGTTAAGACCTTAATATTAAAATTAAATGTATTTTTTTATTTTTCATTGAGTATTTTTTATTTTTAACATTTTTTATTTTTTTAATATAAGATCTGTAAAAGGTGATTTAAAAATGAATAAAATTATTGAATAAGCAAAATATGAATAAAATAAAAAAAATAGTATAGTATAAGATACTAATTAAAAAAAGAATTAATTCTCAAATAAAAAAATTAAATACTAAAAATAGCAAAATTGAAAAATTTTAAATAAAAAAGAAAAATTAAATTATATGTTAACAAAATATAATATAAACAGGTAATCGAAAAAATTACTATGATCTTATTATGTTTAAATTATAGTTATAAGAATAATTTTTTATTTTTAATATAATTACATTATTAATATAATATTATAATTAATAAGAAATTTTTATATTTATATTTATATTATATTTACTTTTTATAAAATTAGTAAATATAACAATAATAATATATAAATGAAATTTTAAAAAAATGAAGAAAAAAGTAAATAAAAAAAATATATTTATTTATTAAATAATAAAAAGAAAAAAATACAACATAAAATTTAAAATAAGTATGTATATATTAATATAATCGTTTCTTTTAAAAAATTTATTATTTTTTTAAAATTCTATATCTTTTTTAAAAAAATATAATAAGTAAAAATATTAATTATTATTTAGTTTTTTTTTTTTTTTTTTTCAAAATTATTTAATTTATTTAAGCATTTTATATTATTTTCTATTACATAATTTTACTAAGTTAAAATAAAAAAAAAAATTAAATAAATAATCATTTACTTTATTTATTAATTATTTATTTTGTTCAAAATAAAAATCAAATATATAATTTTATCAAGATTACTTCAAACCAATATTATTCAATTAAGAATTATTGTTTCCTTAATAATTATCAGAAAACATTTAATTAGCCATTTAATATAATTATTCAGGACATTTAGAACACCGAGATTTATTTTTTAAAAAGTTATTTTCATATGCTTACCATGTATGTTAATATTTACATTTGAAAGTTAATTAAGGTTGCAAAAATTAAGTTAATAATTATCCTTCTTGACTTTCTGCAAATGCTTAGTATTCTTATTTTAAAATTTAACATTAGGGACACCAAAGTTCTTTTAAATTATTTAAATTTGCATCAAAAACATGTTTTTTGAAACATATGATTGTGAATATGTCATTTTAATAATCACCTTTGGGCATTCTAATTATTTTTCCGTATCTAGAAGAAACTAAATCTATATATTGTTGCTCTAGTTATTGCTAAGGAAGTGTTTGTTTTGATAATTGGATATAAAAATCATCTTCGTCATCAAATTATTATAATTCTATGTTTTCGTTTATTTGTTTGTAATAGTTTTATTCATTATTATTGCTATCCGATGTTTCTTACTATAATTCATTTAAAAATTATATTAAAGAGTCTTTTTGGAGATTTTAGGTTATTTATATTGCTTTAGTATCAAATTTTTATTTTTGCCTTTAAAAAGATTATTCTGATGTTTCTTCAAAGTCAGAAGATGAAGATGAATAATTTGTAAAATTATTACTATTTTTTTTTAATTTTGACATTTTTTTTTATATGATGATTTTTATTAATTTTTTTTTGTTTTGTATATATTTAATAAATTTATATATAAATTTAATTGTATTATTTATTTTTTAAAATAATAATCTTATAATAAATATATAAGAAAATAAAAATTAAAAAAAATAATATTATATAAAATTATATAAATATAAAAATAAATAAATATTTAAATATATTTATAAATAAATTTTATATATTTTTATAAAATATTAATAAAGACATATTTTTTAAATTATATTCTTTTTTTAATCTATAATATCATTATACTTTATTTATTATTATTTATATACAAATTATTTTACTTTATTGTATATAAATGATTGTAATTATTATATTTTTAATAATTATTTTTTTAATATTATATTTTATATATCATTTATTTATCAATTTTTTTTTGTATTTATTAAATAAGCCTTTTTTTTAGTTCGACATAATAAATGTTTATTTAATTTTTAAATATTAATATATTTAGAATATATTTAATTTTAAGGATTTTCACAATATTAAAAAAAAAAAAATTTTTTTTTATGATTATATATAGAAATTAATATATAATCAATTGTTTAAAAATAATTAATATTGAAAATTTATTTGAACTATTTAAAGATATAAATTTTGATAATTTTTTTTATTTTAAATTTATTATCTATTTATTTTTAATTTAAATAAAATTAATAACATATTTTAAATACTAGAACATAATATTTAATAATAAAAAGTAAACAAATTTTTTTATTTAAATAAATAAAATAATAGTTATTTCATTTTTTTTTTTAACATTATTATTTTTCATATTTTTTTAATTATCATCATCTTATGTATTTTTTAAAGCTAAAAAAATAAAAATGATTAATAAATACATTATTAGAAAAAAAAAATTATAATTAAATCATATATTACCATATCTAATTAAAAAACTTATTAATAAAAATATAACTAAAAAGTAAGTTATTTTAGAATTATTTGATAGATTTTATATTGAAAATCCTCCTAATTTGGGTTCTTTTCTCATAAATGAAGGAATATATGAGTTTCCTTAATTTTCTAATTATTTTTGCATTACTTCATCAAATTTCTTTAAAAAAAAATTAATTTTTTGTAAATATAAAAAAAATAAAAATTACTATAATAAATTATTTTATTTATTCTTCTTTTATATTTAATTCTAAAGAAAAATCTTATTAAGTGTATTTTAATAAATTAATATCTTTAAATATATTTTCAACTTATTTAATTTAAAATGTTTTATTATGTAAAGATTTTATCAACTATTTAAATTATATATATTTTTTAATTTGTTATTTATATTATACTTAATTAAATTCATTTGGATTTGAGTAACCATATTTAATACAATAATCAGTATGTTCGATTTATAATTTATCATAATATTATATCTTTTTTTATTAATCATATTCTTCTTTAAAAATACTTTGTATAGTATTGTTATCATAAGAATCTATTTTTTAACGACTGATAATTATACAAGAAAAATTAATATCTTAAACATTAGGTTTAGCGAAATTGTTTGAATATTATTAATTATTTTATTAAACTTATTTATCATAATCCTTTTAATGAAATCATATTATAATTAAAAAGTTATGTAAAAATATATATATATATATATATATATATATATATATATATATAAAATATATATATATATATATATATATATTTTTACTTCTGCAAACTCTATTATAGCCTCTTCTTCTTCATCAAGATTTGTAGAATAGTTTTCTTTCAAGTAAATTTCAGCATTTATGTTTGTATAAGGAAGATCTAAAATCTATTCTGAATGTGTTTTATATTATATTTATTCTATTAACTTAAAAATTATATTTATTATTTATTAAATATTTTATAGAAATAAAATTACTATTTTCGGGTATTCCCTATTATTATTAGCATATTATATACATAAATATACATGTTCAGCTAACATTTTTTTATGAAGTTTTAGTCTATCTTCATTGTTTTCAACTTTTTTGAAAATTTCAAGTAATTTTAACTCACCATAATTATCAATTCTTCTTCTGGCAGCCAATAGACAAGAAATATAAAAAGAATTTTCAAATTCTTCATATTTTTCCTATTATTCTTCTTCAATATTATAATTTTTATTATTTTATAATATTTTTTTTTATTACTTTATTACTATTTTTAAGCTTCACTTTATTATTAAGATTTTTCTTTGTTTTATGATTCTTATCATTAAAAAAAAATATATATGTTTTTGATTTATTTATTTATTTTTATGTTTATACAATCATCAGAAAAAATTATGCAAAAGCATACAAATATTAAGAATAATTTTTTATAAATTGACATTTAAATTATTTATTTTATTTTTAATATATTTTTTTTCTTTTATATATATTTTCCAAATTTTGATATTTTTTATATAAGTCTTTTATACTTTCTCTAATTATTTTTTAACTCAAATAAATATTAAAAAATAAATTTAGAAAAACATAAAAAGTTATTCATTATAATTAAAAAAATGACCTAAAAATCAATATTTAATTTTGGTATAACAAATAAAAGTAATGATGATGAAGAAAGCCCTTAAGATATTTCTTTGATTCCTTAAAATATAATAAAAAAAAAACTAAATAAAAAGGATGATTTACATAAACAATTACTTTTGAAATAAATGGACAAAAAATTTAACTAACTAGCATTATAAGGCCAATAAAAAATTTAAATTTAAGCATAAAGTCCTTTGTAATTACAAAACGGAAATTAATAAGATAACTCTAACTCTCCGATTTCATAAAAAGATAATTAAAACGATTATTAGATTAAAATAAAATATTTTGAAAATATATAATAATCACCAATTAATTAAATTAATAAAAAGAAAAAAAATAAACAAAGTAACAATTAAAAGGAAAATTGAATAAGAAAAATGAAGAAAAAATTAAATAATATTAAAATTTATTAGAAGGAATTGATAATACTGATAAACTAGCAATCAGAGGATTAAAAAAAGATGATGATTATAGAAAAGCCATATTATAATATGTATTTTTTTATTATTAAATAATCATATTTTATATGTATTATTTAAAAGATGTTAAAAAAAGAGAAAGAAACTGACCTTTTATAATAAAATTAAATTTTCATAAATGATGCAAATAAAGATGAAATATAATTATATTAATAATTAAAATTAAAATAATAATAAAATAAAGTTATTAGTACAGAGGCTGAGTTTAAAATTAGAGAACATATAATAAATCATAAAACAAAAACAAATCAAAAATATTCAATTGTTAAAAGTTTCTTTAAAATATGGATGGTTAATGTATATTAAATTAAAATAGAAGAAAATGAGGCTAATCAAAAAAAAGAATAAACTCAAACTGAAGGGATGGCTGTAAGAATTTTATATACAATGCAAAAGTAATTATATTTTATTATAAAATATATTAAATTATTAAAACAATTATTTTTTTATAGACAGAGATAAAATACTAAATTTATAAATGATAAAGTAATATAAAAAAATTAAAAAAATATAAATGCTAAACTATAAAATGCTGAAAATGAATAAAAAATAGAAATAAAAGAAGGAAATTTTTATATAAGACCAGGAAAAGATATATTATAATATATACCACACTGTACTGATATATATTAAGGATTTGATTGATTTAAATGTATATATATATTATATATAAATTAAATAATTTTTAAATATATATATATATATTTTAATTATATATTTAAATAATATTTTTATATTTTATTTTTATATTTATATTTTATAATATATAATATTTTAATTTTTTATAAAAAAATATTTGTTTTTTTTCTTAAGTAAAATTCAAATTAATATTTTTTAATAATCTTATTATTAATTTTATATTTGATTTTTTTTTAAATATATTTAATTTATAATTTTTAATTTATAAAAAAAATAGTTTAAATCAAAACACTTAATTATTATATCAATATATATAATTTTTTTAGTACCTTTTTTTTTAAAAATATTAAAATAAAATAAAGAAAAATACTTTAAAAAAATAATAATAATATTTACTAATAAAATAAAATTAACTAATTACATATGCCTCATTTTTATTTAACAAGATCCTAATAAAGAAAAAAGCCTACATAACCTGAAAGTCCTTTTTACATTTTTAAATAAGAATATCAATCTTAAAACCCTCATTTATCTTTACATCAAGTAAACCAAGAAGCATTGAAAGCATACGAATGCCTAAATGATGATGATAAAATTAAATTAGACCACTAATACTAAAAAGCATTAAAAGAATACGAAATAAAAACCTAAGAATGGGAAAATCTTAACCGTGAATTTAACTAATACGAAAAAGGACTCTAAAGTTAAGATGAAGATGATTAATCGTTAAAATCATTATCTTAAGGTTCTGAAAAAAGTCATTTTTCAGGAGATGAATCTTAATCATCAGATGAATAAGATGAAGATTGGGACGATAATTAAGAAAACGAATAACCAACTAAGTAATAATAATAGAAAAGTAGCGAAAATCCAGTTCGAAAAAGATTATTGAAAAAAAATTCTCAAAAAAATAATTCACCGCTTAGTGAAAATTCTAATAGAAGTTCTTCTCCTGCTAGAGAAGGAAAATCTTCTCCAGAATAAAAATAATCACCAGGAAAAAAATCTTCAAAAATTAGATAATCTTCTAAAGGCAAACAATCCACAGGAAGACAATCCCCTGGAATAAAATCTTCACAAGGAAAATTTTAAGAAAAATAATCTCCCGGAAAAATATAAGGAAAAGGAAGAGAACCATAAAAAAAATCGAGTAAAACACATATATATAATATAATTTTTATATTTTTTAATTTAACAAAAAAAAAGAAAAATAATTGATATAATAATATGATATATAATTAAGTTAACAAATATTTACAAATGACATATAAAGACTATATGATCTAATATCTACTTAAAATGGTCTATAAAAATGGCTTTCAAAAGACGTTTTATTTGAAAACAACCGAGTCTATATAGGTATATGGAATAGAAAAATATTTTGGAACTTCACACATATTGAATTAGATAAGAATTCAATAAGTTTAACTTGCAAAGATTTCTCTAATATACAAATATTTAACACTACACTGAAGATATTTATTGATTCTGATAATAATGTAGTTATTCATCATTAAGGATTTAAAAACTAAGATAAGTATTTCTAAAAACTGATTTAGATTTATTAAGTAGCATAAGGAAAATTAAAAGAACTAGTAGAAGAAAGAAAATTTAATGATGAAAATTTTAAAAGTTTAGGAGAAGAAGATGAAAATATAATCTAATTTTAAGATGAAAATTCAGATGTCGAGGATGAAGATTATTAGCCATAGTCCTAAAGTTAAAGTTAGGCTACTGAAAGTGAAGATGATCATAGTAAATAAGATGAATAAAAAGAATAATAAAAATAAAAAGAATAAATAAATATTTCATAAAAAAAAAAAGGAAGAAAACCTAAAAGTTCAAATAAAAAGAAAGGAAATTAAAGCGAAAATAAATAATTAAATAATTCTCTAAAAAAACTTATTATTTGATATTTTTAAATAAATAAAATAATAGAGAATATTATACAATACTATAATATTAAATTATATATATTATATATTATTTTTATGATTAAGTTTTTATTCACATTATTAATTTTTAATGATTATTTTGATAAATAGTTATTTATAATAATTTTATACAATATATGTTTTAAAAATATAAATAAATATTAAAGTTATTTAAAAATAAAAAAAAAAAGAATAAAAAGCAATATATTTATAATATAAAAAAAAATATATATTAATATTAATTTATATTTATATATAAAAAAATATAAAAATTTATATATTATATAATATAATATATATTATATATATATTTTTTTTTTATTTTTATTTTTATTTATTAATTTAATTATATATTTATATATTTATATAATATTTTTTATATTTTTTTTTTTTTTATAATTATTTATGTATATATTTTTAAAATAATTTTTTTTTTCTAAATTTATTTAAATTATTTACAGAAATTAAAATAAAATATTTCAATATTAGACAAATAGATATTTAAATCTATATATTATTACAATTTATATATATATATATATATATATATATACATCATAATTCTTTACATCAATATTAAATGTTTTCGTTATTTATTTCATTTTACTATTATAAATTATTTTCTTTTTTTTAATAATTATCTTCATTATCATCATTTTTTTTTTATTTTTAATATTCATCTTTTATTTTGTCTTTATCTAACATTTATTTTTATTTTAGTAAAGCACTATTATACCCTTAATTTTCTACTAGAAACTTATCCCAAAATCTGACATACCATCCTAATTTATTTTCTGGAGTTTCTTCTTTTCTTCTCTCTTTCAATTTTTTACATATTTCCTTAAATTCCTCATTCGTTTTAATAATCCCTAATTAACTTCTTAAATCAATATTTTAAGCTAAACCTTTATGTAGTATTTTAAATAAATGTGATTTCACAAAATAAAAAGGTGCATCATATTTTTCCGCAAAATCTAAATATTCTACTGCCAAATCATCAAAATCATAAATCTTCCCACTAAATAAGGCTGGATTTTCCAATAAAGCCTCCGCACTCATAACTCCATCAACTCCAGTGTATTCCATGCATCTTTAAACGTCTTAGAAAGTATAAATTCCTCCGTTTGCAAATACTGGAATTGTTAATGTATCTTTTATTTCCTTAATAATATCCCAATCACACATTCCTACTAAGTCTTTGTTTTATTCTTTTGTTCTTCCATGTACTGTTAAAATTGAACAACCTGCATTTTCTATTCTTTTGGCTAATTCGAGTGTCTTTTCTCTACTTCGAATTATTCTTATTTTACATGTAACTGGTATATCTAGTTCTTCGTGTAGTTTTTTTACCATTGATTCTATTAAGTCAGGTTCTTATAATAAAAAGGAACCGTAATGACCTTTTTTGGCAATCCCTTGGGGACAACCGAAGTTTATATCAACTGCATCACAGTCTTTTTGAATGTATTTGCATGCTTCAAGTAAAACTTCCGGATCATTTCCGCAAAATTGGGCTATTAAAGGTCGATCTTCAGGACATGTAGAGAAAAAATTCTTAAGAGATTTCTCTCCTTGATCATAAACGACTTTACTTGATATCATTGGGGTGTATGCGAGGGTTGTACCGTATTTACGGCATAACATTCGGAAGGCTAATTCTGATTGGTCAACCATTGGGGCACATATGTATTGCGGTTCTCCGATACTTTTGTAAAATTAATAACCATGTAATTTAGATTTTGTATTTGAGTCCATATTTTTTTTATTTTTTAATCTTATTATTTATTTTTTATGTTTTTATAGAAATTTTAGTCTTTTTCTTATAAAAGGAAATTACTATGATTATATAAAATATATTATAGTTAATTTTAATTAAATTAATATGTAAAAATATATAATAATTATTTTTTTATATATTTTTAAAAATAGAATAATTTTAGATAAAAAACTTATTGCTAATAAATTTTTTATTTAATTGTTAAACATTTAAAATTTTATTAGTTTATTTTCTATTTATAAAATAAAATTAATTAAAAATGGAACGGATAATAGAATAAAAAATAATAAAGTCATAATGGCTTAAAGGATTACAATTAAAAGATTACGAAGAATTTATCCAAAATTCATTCTATTTAGAAAAATGTATTTAATAAAAAAGCAAATTAAAAGACATTTAGTAAATCTAGTTTTAAGATAAAGAAATATCAAGATTAGAAATAATGAGATATTCTAAAGAATATATGCATTAAATGAAGTATATTCAATATTTTAAATGCGATAGCATAAATTTTGATGATTTATTTAAATAATCATTTGAATTTGAAAAACATGGTTTTTTTTTTTTAAAAAAAAAATAATTATTTTAATTATTAATAAATAATAAAATTTAATTCATAAATTAGGAAAAACTTCAAGTTAAATTTTAAGAAGACATTGCTGTTTTGAAGGTGAATTGCTTTATTAAATAAAAAGTATTTTTTTTTTTTTTTAATTATAAAATAAATATTTATTTATTTAATGAAAAAATAAAAGATAAAAATTCGAAAAATCCTTAAAAAAGAGTTCTTGAATTTCCAAAAAGTGTATTTATTGAAAGCTTGGTAAAATTTAATTTGTATATTAAAAAAAATAACAAAAAAAGAACTAATATAATGCTTTATCTTAAAATTAAAAAAACTAATACATTTAATGGATAAAAACATAAAAAATTCCGAATTATCGGTTAATTATTTTTTAACCTTAAAGGCCTAAACCAATAGCAATTTATATGGAAACATTAAATGAAGCAAAATAAATAAGGGATTATATAATATCAGGTAAATAAAAAAAAATGATAATAATAAAAATAATTAAATATAAAAAAAGTAAAAGTAAATAAATAACAGCTATAATTTAAAGAAACAATATATAAACTAGCATAAAATTATTACTAAATAATAATTTTAGCGGTAAATAAAAAAAATATACTATATAAAACTATATAAAAAACAAGTTTAATAATAGACTATAGTAATAAATATAAAAAATAAAAATTAGACATTAAAAATTGACTAAAATAGGCTAAGCTTTCGAAAATTAATTTCTAGAATAATTTCGTTTAGTATTATAATCAAAAATAATTTTTTAAAAGCGTATATAATAATCTAAATAATATTACGATTTAATATAACCAGAAGTTTAGGAATAATAATAATAAAAATACATTTCTTAATAATGTGAATATATAAAAAAATAGCAAAAATCTTAATATTTGTTTATTATAAATAATAGTGATCATTTAAGAATATTAGATTAGGAAATATTAAAAAACTTTATTTATTATTGGAGAAAAACCACATATAATAAGAAAGAAAAACTGGAAAAATCTTCAAAAGATTTAATTTTGTCCTTTATAAATATAGAATTAGATGCTAATTATGAATATATAAAACCTATTATTTAAATAAGTTTAAAAAAAATGAAATAAATAGAAAATAAAAATAATATAAGGATTGTTAATGATCATATTTTAGTAAGTGCTGGCGAAGGAACATATTATTAAAATCAGCTTTTTTGTAAAATTTATGAAAGAAAATAAGAAACGACATCTTTATGGAAAATATGGAGTGAAGATGAGGAAAATATTAAATAAAAAACTGACTTTTGTTTAAAGATAAATAACTTTGACCCATAAGACATTTTACTTATCTAATTATACGATGAGGCTGATTCAAATAACACATTATTAGGAGAAATGATATTTTTTTTATCATAATTATGTCTAAATAATATTTCATAAGTAAATTATTTACCATTATTATTATAAAATAATAATAATAATAATTTTATTCAACCGCCTATTTTATTTATAAATGCATTTGTTAATCCTTCTCATGATTTTCCTTTTGCTTAATCAGTTGAAGATATAAATAATTATATAGTTGAAAATAATTTTGAATTTAAAGATCCCTTGTATAGTTTTAATGTAAGAATTCCAAATATAATTGGAAATTCTTTGAAAATATTAAAAGACAAATTTATAAATGAGAAAATATTAAATCATGAACATTTTTTAGCCAAAATAGAAAATAAATTGATTTTATAAAATTTGAAAAAAAATTTACTTTTGAAATATTTAAAAAAAACATTTATTTCAAATATACAAAGACTAGTGTATAATTAAACTTATTTTTCTTTTCCAAATTCTGATATTTCTCTTTTATAAAAAATATTTATTTTTGATTAAAATTAGAATTTATTTTAAAAATTAAAAGATTATGAAAAATTAAATTCCAATCTTTTACATAACTAAATATTTTTTTTATCAAAAAAGGGTTTTCCAGATTTATAAAGAGGCTATATTTGGCTTTTTTTAATAAAAAAGAATGAAATTGAGAATCTTTAAACTATATCATGGAGTTAATTTAAAAAATTTAATAATAAAATTGAGGATAAAAAATCTATATATTAATGCTTTTTAGAACTTTCTTAATAAACAAATACTTATTAATAATAATAATTACAAAGCGACCTTCTTTTATACAGAAAAATAAGCTAATTAAATATCTAGAATATTTTAAACGCTTTTTTGGCCTGGAATATGGTACTTTCAAACGATAAAAATTCCATAAATTAAGCTTTTGTGAATTATTCGAAGCATTTAATCCCTTTATGTGACAAAATAGGTTGTACTTTTGACTATATGAGGCGAAATATGAATTAATAATATTAATTTTTTTGTTAAAAAAAAGAGGGATTATCTTCTTTTGAAAAAATGCCTTCTTTTGAAAATGTTAAATGTTTAGAAAAAAATATAGATGAAGATGATTTTTTTTACGAGGAAAGTGTATTTTTTATTTTGTGCGGAATAGTTTATTATGTACTCGGTTCTTATTATAAATATTAAGGAAAATGTGAAAATCTTCCTCTTGATTTGAATAATCTATGTTAATATAGTTTAATGAAATGCTAATTGCCTTTAGAGAGTAATTTTTTATAAGGAATTAAATTCGAAGTGTTTTTTTTAAAGTGTGTATTAAAAGATAGAATTAATGATGTTTATAGGAAAATAAATGAGATAAATGGAGGTATTATAGAGTGGATTTTTCAAGAAGGATTTTTGAATATTTTTTCTGAAGTTTTTTTTATAAATATGGAGGTTTTTTTGAGATTTTGTGATTATTTTTTAGCTTTTAATTTATTTAAAAATTCTTGTTTTAATATTGTTTTGGTATCTTTTGTTTTAAGTTTTCTTGAAAATTGCAAAGAAGAGATTCTTTTATGTAATTCTTATTAAGAAATAAAGGATGTATTTGAAATTAATGGATGTTTTTTATTAAATGTGAATACTTTTGTCGAAAATATACACCTTAATTGTTAAAAAATAAAAGCGAATATTTAAAAATATATCAATTAAATGATTTTTATAGATAATGATTTTAAAATACACTTTTATTCTATTTTTTAAAAATAATAATAATTATAATAGGTTCTTAAAATTGAAGATATTTAATATTTTATTATTTCTTAAAGTAAATAATAAGAATAATAATAAAAAGAATAATATTTTAATAAAAATAATGAAAATATACTTGATGATAATAGTTTAGAAATTCCAAATTAATTTGATTCAGAAACTGAAAGACAAAAATATTAAATATCAAATTAATAAATAATGTAAAATTATTTATAAAAATCGACAGCTTTAGAATAAAAATATAATAATAATAAGACAGGAATTTAAAGAATATATATTTTTTTACATAGACTAAATCTTTTTTGGGCAGAAAGTGCTGAGATTGTACTGGAAATTGTTTATGATAGTTTTTATAGGAATTAAACTAAAATTATTTCGGATAATATTATTTAATTAGATTTATTTTAAGATATAGTTTATTAAGAAAACTATAATTTTATTTAAATAAATATTCTTAATTAAAATAAAAAATGTGTAAAAGAATGTATTATTAATATTTAAGAGTTTTCTAGAGATACTGTTTTGAAAAATAAAGCTTTTTTTAAGGACAATTCATATATAAATATGAGTTGTAGTGAACTAGAGTTTTCTATATTAATAAAAAGTTGCTAAGAGGAACCTTTTGTTTTTATTAATAATTTTTCCATAGATAAAAATGATAATAATGAGATTAATATTCCTGTTAAGGCTTAGTGTTTGTTATATGATATATAAATTAATGTGATGTAGAAATTATTTAATTTTTAAAAAAATTATAATAAAGAGTTTTATTCTTAAGTGATTTCTAAAGAATATACAAACGGAGTCATTTATTAATAGTTTTTATGTAAATTTTAAAGAGAAGATTAATAGAATTTTAGTAATTTTGTTTTTTTTATTATTTCCTAATGTATGATGTTGCATTTAAATATTAATAATAAATTAAGTTTTGTATATGATATACTAAGTGTTTTTAATAAAAATGAAAATTAATTACATTTCCATATTGTGGTTTAGTTTGTTAAATTTCTTTATGATTTGTATTTATTTTATTTACCTTTTCATTAAATTAATGATTTGGTAGAATTTCTGTTTTTTGGGTAATGTAATTATATTATTAAAGCTTAAATCATATGTATTAAAAGTGAAGAAAAAATTAATTTTACTAAAGAAGTTAATGATGTATTTTCAAAATACAGAATTTTTAATTAAGTATTTTTGTTTTGTTTTTATTTAAATATATTTTTATTAAATATAATTAGTTTAAAGAAATATATATAATTGATTAAAATGATAATTTATCAATTTTAAAAGAACATCTTTAAGAAAAGCTTAAGGATAAATAATAAGAATAAGAATTTAGTTTAAAAATAAAATATTATTTTAACAAAAATATTTGCGTTTAATATTATACATTTAATAAAAATTTTAAAGTTATAAAAAAGTTTACTTCTCCTAATTAAATCAGCAAAAACAAAAAAGATATTGAAACTTTATTAAAATTAAATGAAAATAAATTTTCCTTATAAATATAAGATAAAGTAGTATGTAAAAATTGCTTTGTAAAGAAAATTTAAGAACTTCCTTTAATAAAATACCTTCATAATTTTTAAATAAACCTTGAAGAAATGCAAAAAGTATAAAATTGTTTTAAAAACATAACATAAGTTAATTTTAATATCATAATAAGCAATTAACTTGCATTAATAATAAATGTTTAGAATGATAAAAAATAATAATTTTATTAATAAGAAAATATAATAAAATATTTACAGAAGTTAAATTAGGATTTATAAATAGAAATTAAACGCAAAAAGTAAATTATCACTATTGAATAAAAGAATTCTTAATAAATTTAAATTAACTAAAGCCATATTTAACATTCTTTGTAATTAAACTTTTATCTTAGTATGGAAATTAATTTACTTTTTATTTAAAACTTTTTACTTAGTGAAAGTCTTAATTAATTAGATGTTGGACAAACTCATTTATTAGGACTTGATTTTCAAAAAATGTAATTATAAATTTAATTAAACAATTAAATATTATAAAATTATTTAAAATTATCTATTTTTGAAATATCTTAAATGTAAAAAATATAAACATTGAATTTCAAACTTATTTATTCATACGGAAAAATTTAAATTAATAATAATAATATTTAATGTATTTATTTAAATAATAATATTAATGATTTAGATTAAGAGTTTAATTAGTTAGGTAAATGGTACTTTTCCGAGTATCATTTTGATTGGTTTCCTTGTTCTATTATTAGAAAAATTCTTAAAAATAAAAACAAAATTTAATATTTTGTTGTCAAATTTAAAAATAAATAAGATTGTAATATATTTTTATTTAACTATTATTATTTTTTTTAAAAAAAAAATAGAAATTTTTTTGAAAAAATATGATGAAATCTTGAGCATTTCTAAAATAAATTTAAATGAAATTGATAATGGATTCTTAGAAGTAATAAATTAATCTTATTTTTATAATAAATTACTTTATTTTATATTAATTTATTGTTTTTTAATAGAATTATATGTGATTTATAATAATCAGTAAACTATGTATATTTTGATATATTAATCATAAATGTATATTATTTAATAAATAGTTATATATTATTTTATGTTTATATCTGCAATAAAAAAATATAAATTTTGAAATAAATATTATAATATTAATAATTATTAGATAAATGATAATTATAATAAATATTTTTATTTTTAATCCTTAAAATTAATTATATATTATTTATTTCATTATTTTTTAATAAATTTTTTATATTTTATTGTTAATATATATATATATATATATATATATATATATATATTATTTTTTATTTTATATAAAAAATATATTTTGAAATTTTTGATTATTTTATTTTGTTTATGTATTTTTATAACATAATGCTATTTTATTTTATTATTATTTTTATACATTTAATATTTTCATTCTTTTAAAAATATTTACCTAATATGATAAAATAATTAAAAATAATATTCTTTTATTAATCAACTAATA